AAATCAGCTCTGAATATTATTTCAGGGGAAATAACATCAGCAGTTCTTTGGATCGCTAAGTGATACAGGGGTGATAGAAGCAATTCAAACTTTCAGAACAGAGACAACAGGAGCCAGAAAGCTAGAAGCCATGTTTAAATGATACAACACTGCCACCTAGAGATCAAACACTACAGAATTGGTCACTACAGCCAAACCCAGGCCCTGGCTTCACAATTTGAATGAGCATGGGTTTTCAACACGAGACACAGTGAGGAAATGCTACAGAGTAAAAAATAATATGGTTCCCCCACCATTACCCACAAGGACAGGTCCTGAGCTGAAAACAGACTCACCCATGACAAGGTTTGGGGAGGTGGGGAATAGAGTAGAAAAGGGAGTGGTCAGAGGAGTTTGTGAAGGATGTGGCGTTTAGACTAAGCTTAGTAGGATAACAGAATTTCTACAGACCAAGGGAAATGGATTCCAGGCTCAAGGAACAGCCAGCATGAGCTACTAAACTCAATTGCAGAAATATATAAGCTTTACTCTATCTCACAAGTGCCCTGAATGTTGTGTTAAAACATATGGGGAAGCCGAAACTGGTTTGGCTCAGTGGATAGAGCATCGGTCTGTGGACTGAAAGGTCCCAAGTTTGATTCCGGTCAAGGGCATGTACATTGGTTGCAAGCACATCCCCGGTAGGGGGTATGCAAGAGGCGACTGATCAATGTTTCTCTCTCATTGATGTTTCTAACTCTCTATCTCTCTCCCTTCCTCTCTGTAAAAAAAAAAATCAATAAAATGTATTTTTTTAAAAAAAAACATGTGGGGAAAATGAAATAAAAATCATATTTCCAATCCCATTGAAAGCATCTATATATATAAAACATAAGTGACAGTTTGACTGTTCAACTGGTAGCTATGACACGCACTGACTAGCAGGGGGCAGACACTCAACGCACAGGCATGGAAACATGAACCAGAATGATCTCAGAGGTGGAGGGGAGAGGGCAGGAAGAGATTAACCAACTATCTTATATGCATACTAGGGGCCCTTGGCCTGGCCTGTGGGGTCCCAGATTTCGAGAAAGTGCAGGCCAGGGAAAGATATCCCACTAGTGCATGAATTCATGCACCAGGCCTCTAGTTTCAGTATACTTATATGCTGCTTGAATTTCATAAAGGATCAAATAAATTTAGGAATGTGGGATATAAACCAAGGTCAAATTCTCTATCACAGATCTCAAATATTGCAGAACCTTTAGTATTTGTGTGTATATAGTAAATCTCCAAGAAGAGACTATAGAACACTGTTTGCAAAATTTAACTGTCATGAGCAAACCCTACTTGAGAAGCAAGATCAATGGCAGTTTATGGATGAAGGTACTAGAGTCAAACTGCATAGATTCCCATTTTAACTCCACCACTCACAAGTGAGCCTCTCTTGGACTGTTTCTCCAGCAGGAAAATGGGAACATATACTTACCTCTCAAGGTATTATGAAGATTACATAAGGTAAACTCATAAACCACCTAAATCATTGGTCCTTCCTTATGCTCTGATGTCTCCCGGCTCTGTGGGGGCAGTCCACGGAAGATACTATTAACAAAAATACACTCTAGCTATGTGCAACTGCTTGCTGCTCTCATTCCCTGTAAAGACTATGTTCCTTTGGGGTGTCAGGGGGCGGGGGGGGGGGGGGGGGGGGACGTGGGTGGAGGAACCAGGAGTGTGTAAAGTTCCTTTACTAGATTAGATGGAGAATAAGAATGGTATTCACTAATCTCTTTGAAATATAATTGGAAGAGCTTTCAGCATTAGCAAAACAAAATAGAAAACCATAACAAAGTCCACAAATCACACACATTGTTTTCCCCAAGTTTGTACTATCAGAATTTTATTTTTAAAATCACTTGTTTCTGTGTATAAGCACAGAACTAAAAATGTAGAAGGTAAATTAGCAAAACTCACAAATATATTGGGGCATCATTATATGTCTGCACTCACACATATATATATATATATATGTGTGTGTATTCATGTCAACATGAATGTGAGATTGTGATGCGTGGGACAGTTGTTAACACCTGGCCGCGAAAGATTTTAAAGGTTTTATCTCACCATCTGCCCCTGCTCTCTCTGAGGTAGCCTGCACACATAAACATCCCTCAGGTGCGTATCAGGCAAAACCTCAAGAGTTCAATACGATTTTCCCATTCCCCTTTCCCTGTTGTCCCCTTTCCTCATTGACTTTATTTCTATTTCACCTTTTCTCCTTAATCACTCTCTGAATTTTAATTTTCCATAGTTGTGGAGAAGAAATATTTCTTGGGTCATGTTACACTCATCTAGAGACATTACCCTAATTTAGCCAATGGGAGCTTAAGGCTAAATGGGCTGCCAGATCTGGAGCAGAGGCCCCAGTTGGCCACCAACTAGGTCTTATGACAAGGTTGGCCACCCTTGGTTTACTTACGACAGTGCAGTTTACATCTATTGCAGTGTCAACACTCTCAACAGTTCCATGGAGTAATTCATATGGTCACACCATAACCCTGGACAAGGCTATGTAATCCTCTGGATAAGTTTCCATAACTTGAAATATAGGATTTATGGTTGTTTTCACTGTGTTTCTGTGGTCTTTTTTTTTTTTTTTTTTTTAATTCTTAACTTGATATTTAGAGAAAGGGAGGAGAGAAACATCAACATGAGAGCAAATAGACTGGTTGCCTCCTGCACACTCCCACTAGGGATCGAGTCTGTAACCCAGGTATGACCGGGAATCAAACTAGCAACCATTTGGTGCACAGGACAGCCCAACCAAGCCATACCTGCCTGAGCTATTTCTGTGATTTCTATTTCAGAGTTTTAAAATTGAACTTCTAAAGTAGCCCTATTATGGAAATAAAGATCATTTGACCTCCCTCCCTTTTAGTAAGTTAATGTATAGTCTTTAAACAATTTAGACCCAGCCTAACTATATGAGCATCTATATAAACAAACATTGATTTAACTGACAAAAAAGTCAGTAATGAATATCTCAGGAACTGGAAGAAATGAATCACAAGCTGGAATCAGTACAAGTTTTTGTTGTTGTTAACCCTCAACCAACGATGTTTTGCATTGATTTTTAGAAAGAGTGGAAGGGAGGGGGAGACAGAAACATTGATAAGGAAGAGACACAAATTGGTTGCCTCTCACACACACTAAATCAGGGCTGGGCATTGAGCCTGCAACTGAGGTACCTGCCCTTGACTGGAATCAAACCTAAGCACACCGCTGCTCTAACCACTGAGAAAAACCAGCCAGGGCAGTGCACATTTCTTATATGGTATTCTGCTTAATTCATCTCCGTCCAGCTTGGATATAATACATCAATTATGCCAAGCCCTGGATATTCCCCATCATGAAATCTGTTGGTATGAAACGCCACACCCAAAAAACCATTTTCACCTGAGCCTAGATCTCCTAAGTAGAAACAGGCCAGGAGAGATGTCTGGACACAAGCTATGAAATTCCTGCATCAGGATAGAACTTGAAGTCCTGAAACATAGGCATGTTAACCATGTGAGGCAGCAAAGGAAAGAAAATGGATGTAAAATGACAGAGTGTGACAACCCAATGTTCTATCACAATGTTCTATCACTCACCCTCTCATATCTTAGGCAAATAAAAAAAACTGATTTTGATGTAAATACATTTATTGATACCCATTTTATATAGTTCAATGAAATAATCTATAAATATAAAAGCACTTTTCTCTTGGATATCACCATGGTCCATGTAAATACTCAGCAGTCAGAGTCATCTGCAGGAAGCACTCCAAGTTGCACTGTTAGGTTTACAGACCTGAATATACACATTTCATTCAACAGTGGCACTTATGTACTCAAGTGGTCCAGTGGCTTTGGAATAAATGACTACTGGGCATGTGATGTAAATGTAATGTGTAAGTTTAAATCAACAAAAAGGGTATCAACCAACAACAAAAAGAAAAATGATGAATTAATATGCTAAGCGAAGGAAGTACCACAGGTGACACTTGGTGTCAGAATACTGAAGACGAAGAGTGTTAAACAACACATGTGCTCTCCAACTCCCAGGGGACCAGTGCCTCAGGGTCATTCATAGTCAGCAAAACAGCAGTACTTAAAGAATCTAGACAGCACAGAACAAAAGGTATGTAGCTGCTGGTATCGAGTTTAAAGAAAAATTGAGTTCAATATTTCAATGACATAATGAGTTCCTCCCCTAGAAGGAGATTGTGGGGAAAACAATTTTTAAAAATTCCCTTTGTTACACTGATCATGATCGTTTATCATATGGAAGAGAAAGGAATCCGGATATCTGGTACCCCAACCACCGCTGCACACATTTCCTTCTGTTTTAAAATTTTCCTCAGTGCTTCCACTGCTGAACCTTGCCCTTGACCTGATGCAACCGAAAGTGTTCTCATTTCTTCAGTAACAAATACAGGAATGTCCTTTGCTGCAGTCAGACCACAAGTCTTCTGAGCTAGCAGGCAAATGCATTTAAAAGGTCTTAGGTATGCAATATCCAAAATTGAAATCTGAGAGGCAGTGTTAGAACGTAAGCAAGGCAGCATTTTTAGAGACTACTCAACTGAAAACCTAAGTGGAGCATATAAAAACTCAGTTCTATTATTTTCAACGGGTAATGGTGGCAACATTCCATGGAAAGGATGGGTAAGCGGTGTTATCTCCAGGTCCAAAATATCCCAAGTACTCAAAGTAGGGCCCCAAAGAAGAGAAACACACACTTGACTTCTGCGGTCTCTAGAATTCTTTTTTGTCACTTTTGAAAAAGAAGAGATAGTAGATTCAGCTGTAGACCACTGGTTGAAGGGGTTTCCATCCAAATGAGAAACTCTACCCCTCGTCTCTAGTGGGACAGGCACCAGATTCCCACAAGTGGCAACTCCCATGTCCTGCTGCACGTGGCATCTGACCCTGGAGTGAAGAGTAAGCTGGCACAGAGCCCGACCACTAGAATTCAGGCTAGATGGCATTTCGAGGCGTGCCATTGTGTGCCAATGCTTTCAGGCTGGGGACACTGGTCTGGTGACCACAGCCCCTGTGAGAAGTCACGCCCACCTCAAAAACCTCATGAATAGCTTTTCGGAAACAATGGAAGTTGTAGTCTATTAAACCTGCAAGGAGAAAAAAGAAGATCAGGCCTCCTGAATGTCAACTGTGAAATTATCTACTTAGGAAGGTAAATTTACAATAAAATACTTTTTAATTACCGAACTTTTCCTTTTACACATCATGGGGACAGCTAATGAAGACTGAAGGAAACAGCTAGAATAATCATTGGCAAACTGTTCAGTAGAGCCCTGGGGTTTGGGAGGTACAGAAGCCCCCCCAGTAGAGTCTCGGGCAGCCTGTACCCCACCGCAGGCAAGGCAGCTCCTTCTTCATGTTTCATGAACTGGCTTACAAATAAGATTTTGATCAAGCCGAAACCAGTTTGGCTCAATGGATAGAGCGTCGACTTGGGGACTGAAAGGTCCTGGGTTCGATTCCGGGCAAGGGCATATACCTTGGTTGCGGGCACATCCCCAGTAGGGGGTGTGCAAGAGGCAGCTGATCGATGATTCTCTCTCATCGATGTTTCTAACTCTCTATCTCTCTCCCTTCCTCTCTGTACAAAATCATTAAAATATATTAAAAAAAAAAAAAAAAAGATTTTGATCAACCAAGCAGTTCTATTTTATGACAGAAATTGCTAGCTGCCCACTAAATATCCATTTTCCTTCTTTCACCTCAGAAACAGAACCTCAATTTTGCACATGCATACTGGTGCTCAGCTGAAACATTGCACTCCGCAGACCTCCCTGCAGTCATGTATGGCCACATGAACAATTCTGGCCACTGGGATAAGTAGAAATGTGTGAGACTTCCGTGAAGTCTCCTTTAAAAAAGAAGAGGCTGTATTCTTTCCCCACCCCTGTTCCTCCTTAATGACTGGAATTTGGGTAGAATGGCCAGAGCTCATGGAGCCATTCCAAACCATAAAGTGACCTTGAGATTAGAAGCCAGCGCTAAGAAGGCAGAGCAGAAGGAAAGGAAATGATGCCCTCAGGACACTGGGACAGAAAGATGACACACAACAAACAAATCAAAACAATCTGGTGTCACAGTGAATACCAAGGTGAAAGAAGGCCGAAGGAGGGAAAGCAAAGTGCAGGGCACAAGGAGCCAATGAGACTTCAGAGATGAAGCAGCACTTTGGGGAAACCGGTTAGATTTCATCGGGCAGGAAAGAGGAGCAACAGCAGGAAACTGGCAATCAGAACACAGCACAGGTGAAAGATGGAAAGAAACTAGTCTGACTGGAGAGAGAAACAGAATTCTTGGTAGAAAGTACTGAGAATTAAGTCTAAATAAGTAGGTTAGAGCCAAATTAAGAAGATCCTTCAGATGCAGAAAAAATATAAAAGTTTTGATAACTTCAACTACATTAAAATTTACTTCTATGCAAATGGTAAAATAAAATTAACAATTGTGAAATTAACAGTTGTGAAATGTTGAACACTGGCCTGAAATCATGATTAATTTGTTTACATGTATCAACGGTGATACTGTTACGTTTGAAAAAGAAAACTACCTCTTAAGAGATACCTGCTGAAATCTATACAAAGTGATTTGATGTCAGGTGTTTGCTTCAAAATAATCTAGTAGAGAAAGAAGTATAGGGATGAAATAAGATTGGCTTTAATTTTGAAACTGTTGAATCTGGGTGAAAGATTAAAAAGGGCTCATTACATGATTTTCTCTACTTTTTTAAATATGTTTGACAGTTTTCATTAAAAAAAAAAAAAAAAAAAAAGAGTAAAAAAACATTTCATTGGGAAAAGGACATACCGAAAACAAGAGTGACCCTATGTGATGATTACTGAAGCAGGGAGATATGGGTACATGAAGAGTCATTGTTCTGGTCTACTTTTGTGTATATCTGAAAATTTCCATAACCAAGAGTTTTTTAAAAAATTAAACAGAATGGAGAAAAATAAAGAAATCCTAAGAAGTACAAAAAAGATCAGTATAAAAAAGCAAAGGAATGAAAAGAGGTAAATCACCAAAGAAGAAACCTGATCAAGCATAAAAAGATAATTAATTGCTTGCCCTAACTAGAAAAAGAAGTAAAAATTAGAGCCAAATGAGATGTTATCTCACACCTACCAGACTGATAGTGACTACACAGTCTAACAACATCAAGTATTACCAAGGACATAAAGTGACAAGAACTACCACATAATGCTAATGGGGTGAAAATGGTAAGACCACTTTGGAGGGCAATGTCTTATAAAGATGATGTTCTGGCCCGGCCATCATGGTTCAGTGGCTGAGTGATCCAGTAGGTCATGGTTGGATGCTCAATTCCTGCTGGGGCGTATAGGAGGCAGCCGATCAATGATGTTTCTCTCTCATTATTGATGTTTCTCTCTATATATCCTTTTCCCTTCCTCTAAAATGAATATTTTTAAAAAATGAATGAACTAGATAGAGCTGTATGTTATCAATATGGATAAATCTCAAAAACAATTTTGCAGAAACACTATTTACATTTTTAGATCATTTATACTCTTATTGTTTATAAATGTGAAGTAAACGAATAAATCCTGCATGGGAAAAATAAAACACTACAAGTGCAAAGGAGGGGTTTTCAGTTGAGAAATAACACAGAAGAGCCTACATGCATTTGGCATGTGTTACTTTCTAAGCTCAAAGAAATACAAACATTTATATTGTATCCAAAAAGTTACACATATCTGAAATAATTCATTAACATTAGTGAAAGAATAGTAATCATTTAATATAATTAACATTAAAATCTCAGATAGAAGAGCAGGGACTTGTTGCAGTAAATAATAGAGAGCCATTATAGATCCCTAAGTAATTTTCTGAATTCCAGTCTTCCTTTGGAATAAATGATGATATATACAAAGCCTTCTATATATATCCAGAAGTGGGCAAAGGTAGGTTTATATAGATGTAAAAATAATACATCTAATAAATAATAATACAAGAATACAATTCCCTCTCCCTTCCTCTCTGAAATAAAAAAAATATTAAAAATAATAATACAAGAACAAACTCTTTTGTATACTCACAACTGTAAACCTACTTATGCCCACCCCTGTACATATTGAATGCATAATCTCAAGTACGAGGTTGATGCAGCACCATAAGCCTAGAGGGATAAAGTCTTATGACAGTAAAAATAAAAAGAAAACCGCCCTAGCCAGTTTGGCTCAGTGTATAGCATGTCAGCCGGTGGACTAAAAGGAAGGGTTTGATTCTTGTCAAGGACACTTGTCCAGATTTTGGGTTTGAACCCCAGAGAGGAGTGGGGGGAGGGAGAGGCATAAAGGAGGCAGCCTATCAATGATTTTCTCTCCCTCTCCCTTCCTCTCTGAAATCAATAAAAATATATTAAAAATAATAATAAAGTAAAAAGAAAATCCAAGAAACAAATGATAAGATTTAGTGAAAATCCAATGTAAGCCATACAGGAAAAGACTAGAAAAAAGGAGAACAATGAATGCCCTCTTATCTGCAAGAGCCCCTTCAGCATCACCACCACACAAGATAGCTAAGCTTGGACACCAAAAAAAATATCAAAACTAATGACAAAAGTAGGGTTCTAGGAAGGCCATGAAACAAAGGGGAAAGTGTAAGATAATAACCAAATATTTAAATGTAGGTGTCTTACTAATAGCAGCTCCAAACATGGGACAGGGACGTGGACCCATATCAGAGCTGCAGATGTGAATTTTCCTACCAACCACACAGGGAAGATTAATGAAGCCATGGCTTGGATGAGCTGACCTGGAGAATAATAGAAGCAGAAAGACTTGACTCTGAGGAACACTCAGAACCAAGGAAAAGAAAAACAGAGGAGAGAGAATCCAAGATGGCTGCACAGGTAAACAGCTAGCCGCAGCCGCACACAACAATTTCAATAAGATACAACTAAAATATAAAATGGACATTACCCAGAACTACAGGAAAGTCGATTGACTGGAAATTCTACAACGAGAAGCATGGAGAAGGCCAGAAGGAAGAGCGGAGGAGCTGTAAAAGCCTAAGGTACGGAGATGCGAGCGGAGAGGATGGAGCCGGAGAGGAGGGAGGCTGAGTGCCTGGCTGGCGTTCCCTGGCGGGAAGGAGATAAAAGCTCCGACTGTGCTGGGCCCCAGATCCTACTGCTCTGAATCCCAGTTCTAGGCCAGACCCCGGGGACCTAGGCTCACCCAGAGGGAGCTGGGCTATAAGGCGGAACCCCGGGGGAGCGGCGAAAGGAGGTTCCCGGAGGCCTGCACATTGCGCGCAGAGAAGGGACGGTTGGCTGTGCCGCGGGATTGCCCTGGCAGGAAGGAGACAGGGGCTCCAGACTGCTCTGAACGCCACCTCCAACTCCACTTCCAACTGAACTGAATCCCAGTTCCAGGCTCATTGGGGGAGAGCCTAGACTGTTTGGTAGCAGGCGAAAATCAAGGGCACCTTTCTCTCAGAGGTGCTTGCAACGAGTACTGAAGGTGCTTGCAACCTGGGGATTACTGAGACTCAGGAATAGGGCGGGGCTGACGGAAGCCAGGGCTGTAGGCTCCACCCTGAAATCCCGCCCCATCAGGGAAGCTGCAAAAATGCCGAGACAACGAAAAGATCACAAATGAAAGAAATGGAGGACAAAAAGCGACTGGATATAGAGTTCAAATCTATGCTTATAAGGTTTTTCAAGAATTTCCTAGAAAAGGTCGATAAGACCTATGAGGATATGAAAAGGGATCAACTAGAATTAATAAGGAATCAATGAGAAATGATAAGGAATCAACAAGAAATAAAGAATACATTGTCTGAAATAAAAAATATTATACAGAGTCCTAAAAACAGAATGGAAGATCGCAAGAATCAAGTCAAAGATTTGGAACATAAAGAGCCAGAAGACACTCCTCCGCAGAAGCAAGAAGGCAAGAGAATCCAGAAAATTGAAGATAATGTAAGAAACCTCTGGGACAACTTCAAGCGAACCAACATCAGAATTATAGGGGTCCCAGAAGATGAGAGAGAACAAGATATTGAAAACGTACTGAAAGAAATAGTGACAGAAAATTTCCCCCACCTGGTCAAAGAATTAGACTTACAAGTCCAAGAAGCGCACAGAACTCCAAACAAAAGGAATCCAAAGAAGACCACACCAAGACAAATCATTAAAATTAATTAAAATTCCAAGAGCAAAAGACAAAGAGAGAATTATTAAAAGCAGCAAGAGCAAAGCAGGTAGTTACCTATAAAGGAGCACCTATACGATTGTCAGCTGATTTCTCAACAGAAACCATGCAGGCCAGATGGGAATGGCAAGAAATATTCAAGGTGATGAATAGCAAGAACCTACAGCCAAAGATAATCTATCCAGCAAAGCTATCACTCAGAATCAAAGGTCAGATAAAGAGCTTCACTAATAAAAAAAAAAAGCTCATCACCACCAAAGGAGTTCACCACCACCAAACCAGAATTATATGAATTGCTGAAGGGGGTTCTTTCAAAGAGAAAGTAAATAAAGATAAAAATATGAACAACAAATACGTAACTATCAACAAGTGAATCTAAAAACCAAGGAAATTTTTTTTTTAATCTGATGAACAATATTAACTGTTGAATATATCGATAACAGAATCAGAAGTATGGAAGGGGAGTGAATTGATGATTCTTGGGGAAAAGGGGAGAGGGGGATGTGGGAAGAGACTGAATATAAACTGGGCACCTATGGATGAGGACAATAGGGGGGTGGGGAAAGGGCAGAGGGTGGGATGGGAACCTGGTGGAGGAGAGCAAAGGAGGGGGGAGGGGGAAAGGAACATTTGTAATAATATGAACAATAAAAATTTATTTAAAAAAAAAAAAAAGAAAAGAAAACAGAGGAAACAGAAGAAGTCCTCAGAGAAACAAATACATAAAACAGCCCATAGGGTTCAGCCTTAGGAAAGCAGAGAGAGAAGAAAGCTTCAAGTAAGGCTGGAGAGGCTTCAGAAGGCTGAAGAAGCTGCAGATGAGAGAAGGCCACCGGCAGCAAGGAGATAACCTGGTACCTGGCTCAGGAAAAAGCCGAATGGCAGGCAGTTGGGTAAAGAAAAGATCTGAAGAGACTGGAATAAAAATCTTGGTTTAATATAGATCAAATGGAAGGAGTAAGTCTGACCATATATGGAAAGGAAAGGAAAAAAGTAGTTTGAGCTTTTAATCATCTAACAGTGATTTTCAACCTTTTTCATCTCATGGCACACATAAACTAGTTACTAAAATTCTGCAGCACACCAAAAAATATGTTTTTCCCCTATCTGAAAATATATATAGGTATAATTATGATTCATTCACACAAGACAGCTACAGTTGGCGGTTGTCATTTTTTATTTGACAATCTAAGGGAAAGAGGTCAGTGCCCTAAGTAGTCAGTACTCATGTTTTAAAAATTCTTACGGCACACCAGTTAAAAATCACAGGTCTAACACTGCAGTATTATTTTCTCATTTTCAAGAATCTAAGAAATTATAACAAGAGAACTTCACATAAAAACAGCATCTTAAAAATGTCATTACCTTTTCGTTCAAAACTTTCTTCCCTAAGAATGCAAACCAGTGCCAAAAATTTAGTCACTTCCTTTAAATAAAGGACAGTTGTATTATTCAGCTTGATAATTGCCATAGATTCTTTGTCATAAGCACTTCCACTACCATCTTCCTTTAATCTGTTTTAAAAGAAAGTATTATTCATTACACGGTTCCCAACGAAGTATTTTGTCACATTTCATTTGCACAATGTTTCTTTCCACCCAGTTTCCCAAATGTGTTTTGAGAAAGAATACTGGCTTAAAAATATTGCACAGAAGTTCTTGTTTAGGTGTATAGGGCTCCCAGACCTTGATGCAGCATCCCATGCGTTCACACCTTCTTCTTGTTTACCTAAAATGCATGGAATACAGCAGTTTAGGTGAATTTCCCTCATGCTAATCTGTACTGACAGGACCAAAATATGAAAACTGCCATTAGTGAAGAAAGAATAAGGGGAAAAAAACTAAAATAGTCTATCAAAGATACTGAGGAATCCTGATGCCTATAAAGTGAGTCTTACAGGTTCTGAAAGCTTTCATTCATTAAACTAGAATTGACATTCTAGAATTGTTATATGAAGTCCCCCTTCAAAAAATGTAAATTAATAGTCAAAAAAGCAAATTAAACTATTAAAAAAGCACATCAAAGTGCAAAGTGCATGCATTGCCAAAACCGGTTTGGCTCAGTAGCGAGAGCATCAGCCTGTGGACTGAAGGGTCCCAGGTTCGATTCCGGTGAAGGGCATGTACCTTGGTTGTAGGCACATCCCCAGTAGCGGGTGTGCAGGAGGCAGCTGATCGATGTTTCTAACTCTCTCTCTCTCCCTTCCTCTCCGTAAAAAATCAATAAAATATATATTTTTTTAAAAAGTGCATGCATAGAATTTGTTAATAATAATGAGAAAAATTTGGTTTATAAAGTTTAGATTTGTCTTAAAGAAAAAATAAATGTTCTTCTTTTTTTTCTTTTTTTTTTAGTATATTTTTTATTGATTTTGTACAGAGAGGAAGGGAGAGAGATAGAGAGTTAGAAACATCGATGAGAGTCATCAATCAGCTGCCTCTTGCACGCCCCCTACTGGGGATATGCCCGCAACCAAGGTACATGCCCTTGACCGGAATCGAACCCAGGACCCTTCAGTCCCCAAGCCTACGCTCTATCCATTGAGCCAAACCGGTCTTGGCTTTTTTTTTTACTGATTTTTAGAAAGGAAGAGAGCAGGAGAGAGGGAAAGAGAAACATCAATGTGATAGCAAAACATTAATCTGCTATCTCCTGCATGCCCCATACCAGAGAATAAGTCCACAACCGGGCCTGTGTCCTGACCAAGAATCAAACTGGCAAACTTTTGGTGCACAGGGCAATACCCAACCAACTGAGACACGTCATCAATTTTTTAAAATTAGAAATGGAAATATAAAACTTTACTGAATAATATAAATAGAAATCTCATTTCATTATGGAAAGAATCAAAACAAAGGAGAGCATGTAATCACAAAAGTAAAAAATAGAAATGTAAGACAAGAATAGACAAGCACAGGTGAGACAAATGCATTTTCCTACTCAGAGTCAGTTCGAGAAAGACACTGACAAATTAGGCAGAAAGACCAAGGTCAAGGGTAGGAACAGAGAAATAAAAAAGGAGTTGAGATGGAGCAGAGATCAAAAGATACAGGACACAGGTATCAGAAAGCAAAGGCATTGTTATAGCATCAGAAAGTGTGTTGGGAGTGCTTATTAGGGCAGAGATTTTCAAACTTTTTCATTTCATGTCACACAGAAACTATTTACTAAAATTCTGCAATATACCAAAAAATGTATTATATTTTTTGACTATCTGACAATAAAAAAAAAAAAGTATGATTTTGATTCATTCACACCGGATGGCTGTTGTGCTGGCTGTCATCGTGGGGGGGGAGGGGGAGGAATGTTTCCACTTGACAATGGGAGGGAAAAGAAATGAGGGCCCCTGACTAAACCATCAGGTATCACACATTCTAAAATTTTTGCAGCCTAGCTAGCGTAGCTCAATGGCTGAGGGTTGACCTATGAACCAGGAGATCACAGTTCGATTTCTGGTCAGGGCACATGCCTACGTTGCAGGCTTGATCCCCAGTAGGGGCCATTCAGTAGGCAGCTGATCAATGATTCTCTCGTCATTGATGTTTCTCTCTCTCTCTCCCTCTCTGTTCCTCTCTGAAATCAATAAAAATATTTTTTTAAATAAAATAAAAATTCTTGCAGCCATCAGTGTGCCTACCACAGCACACCTGGTGAAAATCACTGTATTAGGGAATCAGGGCTATAAGAGGCAACAGAGGTTTTAGGCTTTTAAAATACCAGTAATTTGCCAAAGCCTGTTTGGCTCAGTGGTAGAGCGTCAGTCTGTGGACTGAAAGGTCCCAGGCTCGATTCCGATCAAGGGCGTGTACCTTGGTTACGGGCACATCCCTGGTAGGGGGTGTGCAAGAGGCAGCTGTTCGATGTTTCTCTCTCATCGACGTTTCTAGCTCTCTATCTCTCTCCCTTCCTGTCTGTAAAAAAAAAATCAATAAAATATATATATTTTTAAATAAAAATTAAAAAAAATAAAATACCAATAATTCACCAGTTTTCACTCATCCCTCTGGGATAATGTACAAAACCACATCTTTACTGACTTTTATAAATTTCTGTATAATTTGGTGAATTTACATAAAGGAAGAATTTATAATTTAGAGATTTACTTTTAGAGAAACTCAGATATATAGGTCAAATTTTTATATGCATAAATCCTTCTGACATTCAAAATTCCAACTTCCTTAAGGACCCCTCATTCCACAAAGCCTAAGGTTAAATTAGGAACAGTACTCATTCTGTTTCTCAAAATGTTTTAAATAAATTAATCTGGGGTGACTTTTTTTTATCTAGGTAAGTTCCCTAAATGAGAAGACGCAGAGCAAAACCCCTCAAATAATGGCAGGAGAAAGTCTGGCCCTAGTCACACTTTTCCAACCATTCTTGTTCATTCTCTCTGAAGAAGTAAAACCCAGCAGCCACCTACAGAGAAATCATGCTCCAAGCTGCAGCACTGTGGTCAGAACGAGTCCACTTCAGGCAATACTTGCTTGGGGCCTCAGAAATTAATCCCCCTGACAAATCAAACTAGTAGTTTTCCACCAGAGATCTTACAGAAATATGTACATAACTTACCCATATATACAAGACACATCAATTACAACATCAATCATGTCACAGCAAAGTTCATAAGATTGCATATCCACAGGAGAACTGTCTGTTGCAATGTAGATTTTGCTGACAACATCAAAGAGAAAAGCTTTTTCAATACCTGAATTCTTGGAAAAACAAAATGGAGGAAGTGTTCAGTTTTTTGTTTTTTTTAAGAATTACAGTTTGCAACTTATCAAAGATTTTGAATTATTGATGAACTCCAAGGACATTTTTAATGACACAACCCAATTCCAAAATAACCAAATAGTACTGGGGAAAGTGGCACTTCTGTAATCCAAAGAATAAAAGTGAACTTATTTCTCTGCTGCCTTACTGACCTTATTACATCAGTCAGTCAAGTTTGTTTGTTCTCTCTCCTTTTCACTTGAATTATTTTCTAAGACATCATAAATAAAATTAACAAAGAAATCCTCCAAAAATCAAGCCATACTACATTTTCAATAACCCTTTTTTGTTACAATAATCAGTCTCTGATCTGAATGACCCTGCCACCAGAAAGGCTTTACATAACCATTAGCAAAATAATAAAAATATTAATTATATCAGATGTCAACATCTACCATAACCCAAAAGAACTCGAGATCACTATACATTGAGCCCTTCAAAGTAATGTTTAGAAAATATAACGAAAAGTACTAAGTTTATTGGAGGGGATATCCTTTTTTTATTTTATTTACTAAATTGATTGGGGTGACATTAGTCAACATGAACATATAGGTTTCATGCGTGATGTCTATGTTACAAGATCTGTATATTGCAGCATGTGCCCACCACCCAAAGTCAAATCTTCTCCTGTCACCTCATATTAAGATCCCCTTCTGTTTCCACCCCCTTTAAACTGAGTCCTCAAAATACATGAATGTAAAATGATACTAAGATTAGCAAGAAAACGAAAAGATCAATTTTTCAATGCGACCTCCATTAATGCAGAGAAATAAACTAAGCCGAATTCCAAAAACCCAGTCTTTTCCAGTTACCTGTTTCAGAAAACAGACATCATGAAGATATTTTTTAATTTAAAAAGCATGAGGAAATTTTTCATCAATTCATTTTAAGATAAAAAGGGTAAGTTCTAAGGAAAGAATTCAGAAAATAACAAGCCAGTTTTAATGTTTTTATTTATCTGTTAAGTGCGTCGTTAGTCTTTCAACTTGATTCAAGCCATTTTTTGGAGAATTTGATAATACAAATATGTTCAATGAAAATGAAATCAAAACTATAGTGAATTAAATAGCTCACTTACGGATATAAAAATATTTAATAGGTTTTCCAAGGTCGGCAGTTGTGGAATGAGTTTCTGTACCACCTTACTAAAGGCTTCAAATATTGAATGGTCATAGATACTAGTCAAATAAAAGCTGAAAAACAATACAGTTTGATTAATTTGAAAAATCTCAAGTTTGGTAACAATGATTATAATACACAAAAGCTTAAGTTACTTAACATTTTATTTCAGCAAATTCAATTAAAAGCTCTTTATCTTGTCCCTCATTCCCATCGTTCAAGATGACAAATGCAGTGTCCCTACATGCATCCATCCCTTTTATTGCATTTACACAAAAGGCATTTGAGGTACTACCCAGGAAAGCATTTTAAGATGCAGAAACTTCAATATTCACCTAAGCCCTTGCAATTTGATCCAAAAAGCTTAGTTTCTTAAGCTCATAATTTACAAAAGTCAAGAGAAAACTTAGAGGAGATAGGTGACATTTAGCAAATCCTACAAAATAAAAGCCTAGGTGGCGTCGCAAGACGTCATCACAAAATGTCCGTCACAAGATGGCTGCCACAAGATGGTCACAACAAGATGCCAGCAGGGGAGGTCAGTTGTAGGTGATCAGGCCAGCAAGGGAGGGCAGTTGGGGACAAGCATGGCAGTAGCGGAGGGCAGTTGTGGGCCATCAGGCCGGCAGGGGAGGGCAGTTAGGGGTGACCAGGTCAGCAGAGGAGGGAAGTTGGGAGCGACCAGGCCTGCAGGAAAGGGCAGTTGGGGGCAATCAGGCCTGCTGAGGAGGGCAGCTGGGGGGTTAGATCAGGTCAGCAGGGGAGGACAGTTGGGGGCCATCAGGCCAGCAGGGGAGGGCAGTTGGGGGTGATAGGGCTGGCAGGGGAGCAGGCATCAATCAGGCAGGCAAGGATGCAGTTAGGGGCAATCAGGTTGGCAGGCAAGCAGGCGAGCGGTTAGGAGCCAGCAGCCCCAAATGGTGAGGGATGTCCTGTGGGATTGGGCCTAAACGAGCAGTCCGACATCCCCCAAGGGACCCGATTGGAGAGGTTGCAGGCCAGGCAGAGGGACACCCTCCCTTGCACGAATTTCATGCACCACGCTTCTAGTAAGTATATAATTCAGGACTCTACCAAAATGTCACCTCCTTAGAAAGTTCTTTCCTGATCCCCCTACCATTGCTTCCCCTAATTTTTCTTCAAGGCACTGACAAGAACTTAAAATTACACTATACATTTATCTATCAGTGCTTTTGAGCTAATTCATCAGAATGTAAGCTCCATAAGTACAGAGATTTTGTCAGTCTTCTTTGTAGCTGCAAGCCCACTGCCCTAAACAGTGCTCATGGATAGCTGAATAAATAAATGGATACATCTGGTGCTTAGAATGTATGTAAGTAACGTATAAGGACGGATGGCAGCTGGGGCCTCAGAGAATGGAAGCCTAAAGGATGTAAGGTGGAGAAGTAGCATCTACAAATTTAGTGAAGCATGTATTTGAGAGTGAGAGAGAGAAGCCTTTAACAATTTAAACAGTGTGGACAATCCCACCTGCTTCTTCACTCAGTGAGTATAATCTTCATTTAGAGTTGTATCCATGATACATTTATAAGTGCATACTGCAAAGCCAGAAACTCAGAACTGTGTGTATTATACTTTACAGGTAATTTGAAGAGAATTTCAAGGAGCTGACCTAAGAGCTTAACAAGGTGGGGCTCTACACTTGATGTGAGAGCAATGGAATAGGTGAGGCCAAGATGACCCCCACAAAGCACTGGAGACACAGGAATATTCTAGTGTTTCCTTTAGTCAAAAAAGATTAGCAATGTGAGAAGGTCCTGCAGGGGCAGTGAGGCTTGAAGGTGGGCAGGGACAGGGAGAATAGGGCATTTTAGGACGCCAAGTTTCTGGAAACCAGAAATCAAATGGTGCCTCATCCACAGGCCTGCAAGTAATTATTAAAAGCTTGATGCAGAATTGTGAGGTTAACAAGGCCTAGAGCCCTATAAAGCACTGGGGAAGGGACAGTATGTACCACTGGGATGGGATGCCCTGTAAAGGGACACAGCCCTGTGTAGAGCAATGGTCGGCAAACTCATTAAGTCAACAGAGCCAAATATCAACAGTAATCAATCGCAATTTCTTTCGAGAGCCGAAAACCGACTTCTGTGCATGGGCCACAGAAGTTTCAATCGCCCACACATGGTATTTTGTGGAAGCGCCACACTCGAGGGGCCAAAGAGCCGCATGTGGCTCATGAGCCGGTTTGCTGACCACAGGTGTAGAGGATTAGGATTCCCTTGGGCATTGGGGAACACAAAACAATCATGGCTTAACACCCACTATTAATAGTGGATTCCCAAAAAATGATTGGGGAGACTCTGTCACTTTCTTTTACAAATATCGTTGATTTTTTTAAATACATACATTATTTATAAATATTTAAAAATTTTAATCTGGAGCACAATGAGACTTTTCTGTACGATTTCCTAGAAGAAGTGAAAGACCCTGGAGTCTGAGGCCCTAGTGAGTATTTCAGGGTGGGGGTGGCAGGAGCTCATAAGGAAGTCACTTGGTAACAGACCAAGGATAAGGAAATAGCGACACTTGAATCGCTCCCCTGCTTCCCGTTTAAGCTGTTTGTAACAGCAGCTGCTTATATCATCGAGGGGACATTTTCTTGGGAACTTTTTATTACTCATTTCTACCTATAGCACAATGTTAATAATTTCTTAATGGCCTTTAATTATGAATCAGTAGTTCTTCAAACTTAATTACAGCCCTACGCAGATTTATAGGATAAACCCACCTAATCCAAACTTTAGAGTTTCATAAAAGCATACTGCGTCTTAAAAAATATGAACAAGATACATTCGAGTCCACACCTGAAATGTATAAAAGGCTCCTCTACTAAGAAAAATACTGTAAAAACTCAAGCTACAGAGATCTATAGCAAATGTGACAGAGAGTCCTTGAACTAAGGTAAGTAGAGGGGGAAAAAAGAGAGATGAAACCAAGAGAAGGGAGTCCCAAAACAGTTTTATGCCATGAGGAAAAAGCCTGACTCCAGTCTCTTGGGATGAATGTGTAAAAGAAAGACTTCACATGACTTCAACCTCCAGGAAAATGAAAAATAAAAATAAAAAGGGAGGGGGAGGAACTTCTCAATAACTCAGGATCCCAAAACTGCTTGAATTCAACAAAGAAAAGATCAAAAACGTTATAGAATTGGGGAGGATGTACTGGTAACAGAAAGCTTTGTGTCTGTAATGACAGACATGGGAATACACGGACACATTTTCAGGGCTCCCATACCAAACACACATGTTGTTACCTAAGGTGGAGTTTTTCTAGCCCAGCATCTGCAAGGTCATCATTGGCTCTCTGATGAATGTCCCTCTGCGTTTCTATTTTGTGATCATCAGACAGACCATCAACTTTGTGAATAAAAACCTCAAAATTCATGTCGGGATTGACTTTGTAGGCTTTGGACACAGTGATGTGAAGTCTTGTTAAAGCCTCCATGTAGTCATCCTGAAGTCAGAAAAAAACAGTTTTCTTAAAAGAAATCTTATAAAAGTCAAGTACTGAGTTAAGAAAGCCTCAAAACACCTCTTTCCCCAACCACAGAAAATAGATTATCCTAACTATTCAGACCCAAAACTTTTACCACTCAATAGATCTGTAATCTAAGATTAAAAAATTCAATTACCAAGTAAATGTTGTCATTTATGATATTGATGAAAGAAAAAAGGAAATGGACATTTCTTCTCAATAAACTTTTTTAAAGTAATCCCAGCTCTACCAATTATTAGATGTATGACCTTCAGCAGGATGCTTAAAGACCGTGATCTCAGTTTACTCATCTATAAAGCTGGAACTACAGCACATTCCTCAGAGTATGTAAAAGATAAATGAGGAGTGCGAAAGCACCCATTCCAGAGCCCGTCACTCAGAAAGCATTCCTAACTAATGCATTCCTATAAAAAGCAAGCTTCTTAAGGGTAGACATGTCCCATTTTCTAAGGGCCCACCACTTGCTAGCCCCTTAATAAATGCTTGTTACGCTAAACTCAATTTGGACAATTAAGGAAACTACTCACTTTAATATTTACTCAGTTCCCATATCCTTACATTATGGGCACTGATGAGATCTTTTCAGTGAATGACATCAGTTATTGCAATAGTTAATGAAGTACAGCAATATCTACTATTAACAAATAAAAGTGGAAAACTGCTCATGAACTAGAACTCAGGGATATAAACCACATCTCCTAATCATCTGCTACTCTGGACTCTCACAACGCTATGCCTGCTCCCAAAACACCTTCACAGTGTCATCTCTTGTACTGCTAGGGCAGTAGTCGGCAAACTCATTAGTCGACAGCCAAATATCAACAGTACAACGATTGAAATTTCTTTTGAGAGCCAAATTTTTTACACTTAAACTTCTTCTGACACCACTTCTTCAAAATAGATTTGCCCAGGCCGTGGTATTTTGTGGAAGAGCCACACTCAAGGGGCCAAAGAAGCACATAACAAAGAAGATAAATAGCTTTGCCTTGTTTCTACATCTTTTGCCACCAGAGAAGAGAAATAAATAAACAATTATTCCCAACTACCTGTGCATCAATGACATATATCAATGCTCCTGTTCCCCTGAAGATCATCTCGTAGTCAAAAGTTGGGTCAAAAAAGTCCATTTGCCCAGGAAAATCCCATATTTGGAAATTCACAAAGGAACTATTAGAAATGTCATCTTTATAAATCTTGTTGGTACTTTCCAAAAAGAGGGTCTCGTTGGGTGACATTTTATGAAACACCACCTGTTAAAAGAAAGACAATTTTATGACTATTCAACTTTGTATCAAAAGTTTTAAAAAATCTACCCTGAATTAACATAATTTAAAGAACCTGATCCCCACTTATTGGAATGCCTACATTAGGCTCTAAGATAATCAGAAATGGAAAATGACAGAACCCTGCCCTCACTGAGTCTGCAGTCTTGTGGAAGAAATAAAACAAAGACAGTAATTATACCAAGTAGAAAGTAATATGTGGGGGATACAGAAGTAACATGAGAAAAGAAACAGTAAAGACAATTGTTAATAATCACAATAATTGCAATCCATACAACTCGAACACAAAACTAATTTGCCTCTCACCGTTTCTAAAAAAGAAAAAATGGACAGTCACTCCCAAGATTTGGTCAGTAATATGTGTTAATAAGAAAAGGATTAAGATTAGTTTGCTAAATACCTACCATAAATGCACCCAGATTTTGCTGTGGAGGTGAAAAGGCAAGCAATCCAGTAAATTGGGAAGATGACTACTTTTCAAAAACAAACGTCTGCAAATTATCACAGGAAGGTTTATTTTGGATAGACCTTTGCAACCCAGTGGAAAGGGCAAAAGAGCAGGTTATCTGGCCTTTTATGACCGGGTCACCGTGCCTCTCCGTACTTCCCTTAGGAAAAAGTGCACAGCCCTCCATTCGGTCCTGACGGATCCTAAATGGAAGCAAATGCACTTGGCAACGGTCTGCAAATATTCTTAACCACGCAGTCAGGGGTAATCCCACCAGCAATCATACGCGCCAAGCCACAAGTACTAAACTAAGTGGAATCACAGCCCCCACTGTTACAGAAAGATATCCTTCGTATTTTTGGTCACGAGAGCAAAACAATGGCCGTGACTCAATCGCAATCCTTTCTGGCGCTGCTGCTCCCCGGGGCTCACCTGGGAAGCCCTGCAAACGCGGGTCACCTGGAGCGAGTGGAACACACAAAAGCGGGGCTGGGGAGGGAGTCCGCGAAGTTCTCCAAGTAGGAACTGGGGAGGAGGTCAGCTTGGGGAAAGGCGCAGGGGGATGGTGCCCAGGCGGCGGCGGTCCCAGGCGGGGGTGCCACGGGCACCTGCCTCCTGCCAGCCAGCTTCGCCCGCGGGGACCCACTCGGCCTCGGCGGACCTGGGCGTGGGCTCGCAGGTCAGGGTCCCCGCGCGGGCCGCGCCTGGGGCTCTGCTGCTCAGAGGAAATGAATGTGCGGTGGGACAGCCCTGCGGCCAGCCGGGCCGCCGCCCTCTTCGGGGGGCCTCTCGCGCGCGGCGGCGGCGGCCACCCGAGCCCCCGCGGAGGGGCGGAGGACGCGGCGCGGCCTCACTCACCTTCTGGATCGAGGACTTGCCGCTGCGCCGGAGCCCCATGAGCAAGATCCTCGGCTTGGAGCTGTCAGCGCCCCCCGGGCCACAGCCTCCGCCGGCTCCCGCCCCAACCCCGCCGCCCGCAACGGCCGCCTCCTCTTCCTCCTCCTCCACGCCGTAGCCGAAGTCCTTCGGGAACGAGTCCGCCGCGCCGTAGCTGCCGGCAAGGGGCGCCTCTTCCGCCCCGTATTGCAGGGACATGGTGCTAGACCGCCGACGCCCGCGCCCTGACAGGCCAGGCCAGGCCAGGCCGAGCCAGGCCGCCGCCTCCCCAGTGCGCCGCCGCCGCCGCCCCCGGCAGCCGCCACCGCCGTGCGGCCCGCCCCCCATCCCGGCCCTGATTGGCTCTGCTCTGAGGCCGGCCGCTCATTGGCTGCACAAGCTGCCACTCGGGAGCAGCAGGGTAGGTGGTGGCCATCACGTGCCCGGAATCACCTGACTCGGAACCGAGGAGGGGGGAGGAGGAGTCACGAGGAGGGTGGCCCCGCCGGCCGGCCGGCCGAGCCTTCTGCTCTTCTCCGCCCCAGCCCGCACCTCGTCCTGCCCAGCCACGCACATTGTTTCTCACCGCTCTCCCGACTTCCTCGGAGCTCCAAAAGGCCATCGCAACGAGAGATGCTCTTTGGGCATTTGGGAGAATTGATGGTCCCTCCGGTACAATTGTACTCGCCCAAACCAACATTGATTGATGTCTGCGAAGTCCTGGGACACAAAACTGGAACCGAACCTGACCCTGCCTGCTTCCCTCCAGTTGTTGTTCGAAGATTAATAGCGTAAGTAGTCTCGGTCCGAGATACGAGTGGGAAGGTCAAAGATATAGACTATAATGCTCGGGAGTTGAGAGGGTGCGAAAGTCTACAAGAAGCTGTGGTCTGAGCTGGTCGTTGGATGGATGGATTGGTTGGGAAATGCAAAGGTATGGAGGAGGAGACATTTAGATGGAGGGCAAACCTCAAACAAGGCAGTCCTGAGTGTGTAGTCTAGTATACTAGTTCATTCTAGCAGAGAGGACATCTTTCTTCAGCAAATCACTGACAAGAGGATACTGCTGCCACTTCAAACTCAACATGACTCAATTTCCCCTCCTTCCCACCTAGTCAAAATCTACTCCAGTAAATCCATTCCCCTAGAGAACATTGTATCCCCCCAGAGACCAATGAATACACAATGAAAGCAAATAAAGATAAATGCTATCACCAAATGTTTCGAGAAAGCTGGAGGAATTTTCACCCTTGACAGTCAGGATTTGGAATTGGACAGTTGAGAAAAGAGGATTTTCCTCTTAAAAGTGGGGATGGTGGTTTGCCGGGACCGGTTTGGCTCAATGGATAGAGCGTCGGCTTGGGGACTGAAGGGTCCCGGGTTCGATTCCGGTCAAGGGCATGTACCTTGGTTGCGGGCATATCCCCAGTAGGGGGTGTGCAAGAGGCAGCTGATCGATGACTCTCTCTCATCGATGTTTCTAACTCTCTATCTCTCTCCCTTTCTCTCTGTATAAAATCAATAAAATATATTAAAAAAAAAAAAAAAAAAAAAAAAAAAAAAAGTGGGGATGGTGGTGGTGGTACTGGTCTTCCAAGTTATAAAGGGAAAGCATGTTCATGTAGGTCTGGGACTTGGTTATGTCTGAATCTAGAAGTTACAGGTAGGACACATCTTTAGAGATCTAGTCCAACTTCTCACCTAAAGAGGGTCCACTATACAGCATCTGATGGACATAAAGCATACACTTAAATAGTTTCAAAAAACGGAGCCATTTCCACTTTGGTAAAACTTTAAAATTCTCTTTTTCAGCCAAAAAAAATCATACTCCCTGAGCTTGTAATTGAACTCAGGAGTAGTCTTCTCTTTCATGACTGCCCTAGATTACAGTCTTTGTTATCCACTAAATCTTTTCTCGGCTCCACACTAAACATATACTCTTTCTTCAACCATTCCTTCAGTGATGCCCCGTAGAGCATCCTATGACAGAACTGCTCTAATCTGTACTGGTCAATATAGTAGCCAATGTGGATTGAGCACTTGAAATGTTGCTAGTGTGACTAAGGAACTGAATTTTGAATTTTAAATACCAAAAGTGGCTATGGTTACTATATTAGACAGTACAGCCTTGTATTTTCAAATGCCTTCTCTCTATTGGTCACTCTCCTTTATATGCACTTGAGCTTTTCAACATCCATCAAATGTCTGGCACCTACAATGCAATACCACCAATACAGCCTTCAGAATAATTGTTTAGCACCTAGAGAGTATTTCTATTAATGCTTTCCAGAATGGATTTTTTAAAAATATTTATAGCCCGCCCTGACTGGTTTGGCTCCATGGATAGAGCAACGGCCTGCAGGCTGAGTGGTCCCAGGTTCGGTTTCGGTCAAGGGCATGTGCTTTGGTTGCGGGCATATCCCCAGTGGGAGGTGTGTGGGAGGCAGCTGATGGATGTTTCTCTCTCATCGATGTTTTTACCTTTATCCCTCTCCCTTCCTCTCTGTAAAAAAATCAATAACATATATTTTTAAATTTTTTAAATAAAATATTTATAAAAAGGAGCCAGTGCCCTAAGTTGTTTGGCTCAGTGGAAAGAACATTGGCCTGTGGACTGAGGGATCCCAGGTTCGATTCCTGTCAAGGGCACAGGCCAGGGTGTGGGCTCCATTCCCAGTAGGGGGCATGCAGGAGACATCCAACCAATGATTCTCTCATCATGGATGTTCCTCTCTCTCTCTCTCTTCCCCCCCCCCCCTCTCCCTTCCTCTCTGAAATCAATAAAAATACTTTTTTTTTTTTTTAAAGCCCGGCCACCATGGCTCAGTGGTTGAGTGTCTGCCTATGAACCATGAGGACATGGTTCAATTCCTGGTCCAAGCTCCATCCCCAGTGTGGTGTGTGCAAGAAGGCAGCCAATCAATGATTCTCTCATCATTGATGCATCTCTCTCTCTCTCTCTCTCTCTCTCTCTCTCAACAATAAAAATATATTTTTTAAAATATATTCATAAAGTACAAAAGTTCCCCACTGATAATCACTGAAACTAGTAAATTGTCAGTATTGCTAGTGCCTTGGACTTGTATAACTGCATTTTTTAACCTAAAAATTAGACTTGCTGAGCTTTCTGGTTTAGACACAAAAGTTTGGGTATTCCAAGTTGCTAAGCATTAAGCATTTTCAAGCTTGTTTCAATATAAGTCTACCAATCAGCTCTTCCAACTTTGTGACACTTAACAGATTTTGCATTACTACAATCTGACCTGTATGTAGTCCTTTATCATTTGCAAGGTACTTTTCATCCATTATAGTTGATCCTTACAACAATCTTGTGAGGTAAGCAAAATATGAAATCTACATTGTATAGGTAAGTTAGCTGACGCATAGCAGGAACTGAATGGATTAAGGTGCTTTTTCTATTCTATTGAGTCCCTTCTTGTATACTCTCTTCATCCGAATCCTTGAAGAAATGTTGAGAGGACCTCCAGAGGCCAGGCTGGCTCTGACTTCTTCAACAGCACTGACTGGTACAGCAATTTAGCAGGTCAGTTCCACCAAAAAGTGTGATTATCCATTCCAGATTGGCATTCTGTCCAAAAGGATGATACAAGACACAACCACCTGACTTACATATGTATTAATACTAGTCCCAAGAGAAAAAAGCAAATGAAGGTTAGCTGCCAGAAAAAAATTTCTACCTCTCTGTATCCAAAAGGGGACTATCATACCAACGGCTTAAAGAAGCCAAGTCTCCCTCTGTTCTCCCCCTTGGAGATGATGAAGATTCTTAGCACATCCTAGACCATATTGTAATTGCTTATATACATGTCTTACAACTAATTTCAAGTATAACACCCAGGACTCGGCCCTCTGCTGTCCATGTAGAAGGCACTCAGATTGGTAGGAGATAAGCCAATTTAAGTGAATGTTCTTCCAACAGTATCTGACACGCCCCTCCCCATCCAAAAACAAAATTCGTGATTAGAAGAGACACATTCCTACCAACTGCCACATTCCTACCAACATGACTGAATAAAATTCCTTTTCTATTGGCCTAATCAGTTTCTCGCAGGTAGAGACTTTTGCTAGTTAAGCCAGCTTTCAGTGTATTATTTCATTTTCTGTGTGTTTTGACAAAAAAAAAAAATCTAGGTTCTCTAACAATCAGGATAAGATATATGAAATATGACTACTTCATAATAACATCAATCAACCAGTAAGGAAAATAAATGATCAAGAAAACAGAGGCCCTGGCTGGGTAGCTCATCACTGAGCCATCCCAGTACAACAAGATTGTAGATTCGATCCCTGGTTAGGGCACATAAAAGTGAGTGTATAAATAAGTAGAACAACAAATCTATGTTCTCTCTCCCTTTTTAGTCTCTCCTTCCCCTTTCTCTAAAATCAGGTGTTGTGTGTGTTTTTTTTAATATATTCTTTTATTGATTTCAGAGAGGAAGGAAGAGGGGGAGAAAGATAGAAACATCCATGATGAGAGATAATCATGGATTGGCTGCCTCCTGGAAGTCCCCCACTGGGGATCAAGCCCACAACCTGGGGATCGAGCCCACAACCCAGGTATGTACCCTTGACCAGAATCAAACGTGGGACCTTTCAGTTTGCAGGCCAATGCTTTATCTACTGAGCCAAACCAGGTAGGACTAAAATCAGTTTGTTTTTAAAGTCTGTAGGTCTTGCAAAATAAATGAAAAAGGACTAATGAACAAGAATCTATGCTTTACCATTTACAAATCTTTCATACATTCCATTTGACCCTCACAACAACCCTGTGAGGTAGGCAGCACAGATATTATCCTCAACTAACAGATGTGGAAAGTGAATTTCAGAACAGTTAACTTATGTGCCCAAGGTTCAACAGTAAGTAATTTGTATTAACATCAGTCTTTGGCCTAAAAATTCAACACCCAACCTCCCCTCATACTCGCCCTACCTACTTCACAGGGATAATGAAGATGAAATAAATTCAAGGCTAGAAAAATATTTTGAGGAAAAAAGTACTATATAATTATACCAGCTAACTATAATTTTCCTCTATATATGGCTTATTATCCTTCTTATCCCAGCTTGTGAATGAACCCAGAATTTTATGTTCCCTCTATTCTGTGCTCAACTGAGCAACTAAGTAAGGCAGGGGAACAGTGTGATCTGTTTAATGTTATATAAGTTTCAACAGGGTAACTGCTATTACAGCAAATTGAAAATCAACACAGGAAAGCCAATGTGCAAGTAGCAAGCAAGGCAGCATTATCAAATAGGGCATGAATGCATAGGAGAAAAACGTGGTGTCAGTTCAAACTGGCACACACAGTTATCTAAGGCAAAGTGGTGGCAAAGAGGAGTTATTTATTCTGCATTATGTTAATGAGCAAAAGATTCGTAAGAATCCATGCAAAGCATCTCATGGCACACAGATCTCTCCAGCTGCCTACGGAGAATATAAACAATGTCATCATCTTTTTAAAGAATGACTGTACCTGTGCTCGTATCCTGAACTAAACCAAGGAACAGCTCCATGCTAACCTTCCTCAGCTAAAATACAACCAGTACCACATTCCTAGTCAGACAAGTAAACAGAATGTCTTTTAAGGTAATGAATTAGATGCCTGTGTTTAGATTTTTTTCAGGATTCACTTTGGATACTCTTGCTTTTAAGACCCAAAAAAGGTTATATTTAGTTTTTATTGGTGATTATAAGAATATGTGTTTATAACAGTTAAAGTGTGATAGGTGATTTTAACATATATATATATAAAAGTTCTATAGCATCTGTTCAGAAAAGATTATATACTATACAAACTATTTCAAGTCTTACAAAACATTTTTCAGTGTCTTTTCAACTGAGAAGAATCCTATTCAGCACGCTTCTCCTCCTGAGGTGGTTCATACTGAGCAAGCTATAGGGCAAAGACAGAGGAGTTTAGATGAATTTTACTCTAAAATGGATTAAAAAAATTAAGAGTAACAAAACGAGTTAACTATTATATTCAATTTAATTACTGACTCAGTAAGTTTATATGTTTAAATGTTTAAACCATTCAATGATTTAAGATTTAATACAATCAAACCTAATGAAGGTTTTTTACATAAATCTTTAATATTACTAGAAAATTAAAGTTTAATTCCAGTTTATGGCTATCCTGTCAAGACACTTGATATACAATAATCTATATCTTCCCAAGGATGATATGGCTTATTATAATAAGCCCCTCTACCAAAAGTTGACTGAACTTTCTCCTAAAAAGTAGAAAAAACAAATTATGTGACATAAATGAATCTAGCCAGATAATAAAGACCTGCTGATGTCTTTGATTTAAAATTGCCCAAGAGTTAACTGGTATTTTCACGTTGTGGAAATCCTGCATTTTCTTTTATGCCAAGTTGTTCCCTTGGAAGAACACTAGGCTAAGATTGGTTCCATTAAGCTGTCAGGTTTGAGAAGCTAGGCTTCATTGTGCTGTAGTTTCCTCACCTGTGCATCTATTTCACTTATCTCACAACATTGTTGAGAAAATAAAACTCATGAGAAATTCCTTGAGTAATATAAAATGCATTATGTGATTCAGAATGTGATGAAACCTCAAGGACTTAAGAGTTGACTAATTTGAAGTTTATTAAAATTCTCACAGGAGTTTAAACGAAGAAAAAACTAGCACTAGACAAAATTAAGTGCAAACAAATTTACAAGAGCCACTACATGACTAGGTAGATTGTGCAGTGCACAAGTCTAAGAGGTGCCACTTACAAAGCAACTTAAATCAACTGTGTAAGACTCTCCGAAATCTCCACACACTAGAAGTAGCATTAACCAATATTCTCATCTTTTTGGTGATGCAGGTTCCCGAGTACCTCTTCTTGACCACACTTTGCTTATCCTATTTCTAATGTGTCTGTGGTTTCCTAGACAGGGCATCAGTTTGGCTTTGCAAATGAGATTGATATTCACCTTTCTTCCTCCCCTACTATCCATTTTAGTGAGATTTGGATCATATTAATATTATTAACATGAATGTGTTAATGATAGGTGAAATTATTAACTACAGATGAATTTATTAACATGAATTATTTTTTAAAATTTACCTTTGCTTTCAGTTTTTTATTTTCTTCTATAATAGCTTCATATTTCTCTTTCATTTCTGCCAATTCTAGACGAAGCAGCTCTATTTCTGGATTTTCTGGGGTAGCAGCTCCTAAGTGATGCTTTAAAAAACTAATCTCAAAGTTAAGAATTTACTTGAGCTAAATGACAGTAATGAAATAGCCCAGAGTAGCATCTCTGATCAGAGTCAACCCATCCCACCACCCATATTTACCCAAACACTCAAAGCAAAGTAACTCTTTTCTTTTATATCATCACCCAAACACTCAAAGCAAAGTAACTCTTTTCTTAATCAAAAGTATTTTAAAGGTTATCTATGTGAAAAAATGAGAATTCTAAAAATAAGGCCTTTTTCTGACTTGAAAGATGAAAAGGATACTCCAAAGCACTATTAGGTTTCTCTGGTTCTTCATATAAGGCTACCAATACTGCAAATCAAAAAGCAGAGAAAGCAACAATTAAAGTCTTAAATTTGAATGGTTGAAATTATATTCTGTAACTTAGAATATATTAGGTGCCTATTATATGTCAAGCACATTGCTAGGCCTATCCATACCATGGTGAATCAGACGGACAAGGTCCCCACTCTCAGTGAATTTACAGTCTAGTGCAAAAGATAATAGACACAGAAAGAGAATAAAGGAACGATCAGGATAACGGGTTATGGGAGCACATTGGAAGAACACCTAACTAGGGTTCCAGGGAAGGCTTCCTAAAAGAAGGGAACTAAGATCTGAGATCTAGATGATGAGGATCGCAGAAAAAAATGGGAAGGGCAGGGGGCAAGCGAACAACGTAGAGGAACTGAAATTAAAGTGTGGCTAGATGCAGTTGTCAATCGGGACAAGGAGTATCCACTGTCATTGATTTGCTGAAGAAACTAGAAGGGAGTAGGGGGCAGACTTGGGAAGGTCCTGCAAGTTCCGCTGGACTTTGATTCTAAGAACAGGCACATAAACATTTTAAGCAGTAGGGTAACAGGATCACTATTTACTTCGGTGTGGAAAATCAGCAAGTGGGACGAGAATAAAAGCAGGAAGAACAGTTAACAAGCTGATGTGATAATCCTATTGACAAAGATAGCCAACTGCACTAGAGTGATAGAGGGGTAATAAGAAAGTAGATCAATTTGAGAAAAATTTAGGAATATCACCATGGCTATGAAATTCAAAATGTTCTTCAAGAATGAAGTTTTCATACATAACATGCTAAATAACTGCCAACCAAAAACTTTACCAGTAATCAACATTAAAATATACTTTAGTGTTTTCATGTCCCATAGCTCATATCAGTATTACCTTGCTCATCTTCTATTGAACAGATTCCTACTAAGATTTACTACTCAGCTAAAAATCTCTCTAAATCAGTGATTAACATTTTTGTACATGGAACCCTTTGAAAAGTCTGATAAAAGCCCCCCAAAAAATGTAACTACACATACACAAAATGTGCATATCTAGACCCCAAGTTAACTCCTGTTGTAAACTAACTTACCATATTTCCCTTTTATTTTTTAGTTTTAATTAATCATCAAAAGACAGTATGGGGCCGAAACCGGTTGGGCTCAATGGATAGACCGTCGGCTTGGGGACTGAAAAGTCCCGAGTTCGATTCCGGTCAAGGGCATATACCTTGGTTTCGGGCATATCCCCAGTAGGGGGTGTGCAAGAGGCAGCTGATCGATGACTCTCATCGATGTTTCTAACTCTATCTCTCTCCCTTCCTCTCTGTATAAAATCAATAAAATATATTTTTTTTAAAAAGACAGTATGGGAAGTCAAATGGCCAACTGCTTTGAGTTCTGATAGTTACTCTTCATCTCTCTAAATATACTTACATTATTTTTTGAGGAATTGATATACTTAATATCACTACTACCCTCTCCTCAACCTCCCTTGTAATGTAACAGTAGTCTTTAATTCCTCTACTTAGTATCTTTTCCTTTAAATTATATACTCAAACTTGTTTCTTCCATTAATTTCCGCTGAGTCCTAATTTTATAAAACCTGAATACTTTTATCATTTCTTCCTCTTCTATCCCAATTTTTTCAACTTTTAAATTTCTGTTAGTGGTACTTAAAAGATTGATAATTACATAACGTAATGTAAATGTCAAGTTTTCTGTGCTTTTCTATAGATAGAATATACTTCCTTTTAATCAGATAAGAAAAACACTATACCCTTTTTGCCTTAGCAGCCAGGATTTTTAGAGGTTGATACAATGCTCACAATAACTCTTAAATGCCTCTTCTTCCTAATGGTTTATCATCTTTTGTCTGTAGCCATCCTGTCTTTCTAGTGTTTTAATGTTAGAAGCAGTTTCAAATCCTCTTGGGAATAAGCTGGATAAAATTTAGAAATTTAATCTAAGTACCTATGTTTAATGCTGAAAATCAAATTTGAAACAGATCACATCAATAGATATTATGTTACCGATGTTATTTAGAGAAGTGGAAATGTAGGGAGGTGGTGAGGGGTTAGATACCAGTAGATGTGAGCAAGGGAAAAGAAGCCACCGATGGTTTCTAATCGCTCAGGAAGGAAAATCACATATGGCCACAAAGCTGTACATCTTCAGTCACCTCCCACCAGGGTCACTTCTCTGGCCTTTACCATTCTACTTTCCACTCACTCCATCCATGCACTCTGACCTCTTTACACTTCCTGGAACTTTGGACATTGGACACTTTCACTCAGGTCTCTGCGCAAATGTTACTACTTAGGAGAGTCCTCCCCCCATCACCCTACATAAGATGCCACACCCTCCTTTAGCCCCTGTTTTGCTATGTCCTAATACCACTGGCTGACACAATGTAGTATGTCTTCCCCCAACTAGGATATAAGCTCATCTAGAGCAGGGAGTGTGGTGTGTTTTTTTTCCACTATTATATCCCCATTTAACCTAAATAAAATGGTTAAATAAAAGAAAGAAATTAACTTGTGGAGTTTTTGTTTTTTTAAGGAGAGGGCCTCCAAGAGTCTGTAACGCTTCCAGAAACAGAGGACAATCCCTTCCTAGAGCAGTTCCTTAATGTTTGCTGAAATTAATTAATGTTTCCAAAGAGGCAGGGAAACTAGTACCTGAACCCCCTCCAGGTAAGTAGGAAATCAAAATTAGCAGTCCATACCTGAGAATTAAAAGCCCTACTTTCTGCTAAGACAGTTATTCTTCTCTTCAACTTTCTCCTAATCTTTGTTTCTGGCCAAAGCGCGGTAACCAAATTATCTCCCGGACACTTACTATTCTTCTCATTTAGACCTAGGTCCTCATCCTGCCAACTCTTACACATCCTTAAAAGGGAGTTCAGGGATACATAATAGGCATTTAAATTACTGCTGAGCTAATGAGATAAGCAGTACCCCAACTATCTCCAAGCCCTCAGCCTCAAGCGCCCTCACTTAGATCTTGAACCCCGGAGGAAGAAACATAGTGTAACAGCTTCTACTTGAAAAAGTGAAAACAATATAACATCTTAATGCTATATAACATCTTAATTACAGTGTAAGGTGCTCTCAAGCTCCTTAGACTGTAATTCTACTTTGTGAAACCTGTACAGTGTAGAAAGGAATCTGGACTACGAAACGGGTTGAAAAGCCTAATGGACCGGATCGCCTGCGTTGGGGATTAGGCTCACTTAGCTACTTCACGCCGCACTTTCAAATCTGGAAATTGTCCAACTTGGTTCGAGGTTCAATGTTTCTTAGCAGGACCCCAGGGCTCCCCAGAAGCCGTAAGGCGGGAGGGATTGGGATCTCAAGGTCTTGAGCAAACATGCCCACTGCGGCTGCTCGAGGCGAAGCAACGGAAGTTGAAGAGACTTTTTGCAACAGCTGCAAGAGTTTCCCTCCCGGCAGGGCGAGTGGTAGCGAGCGGGAGGCGGGCCGGGCCGACGGCGTCCGGCGGCTGGGCGAGCGCCGAACCCCGCACGGGTCCCACCTGGACCCTCCCTTCCCCGCGTCACAGAGCGGCCGGGGCGCAGCCCGAGGGGCACGACGAGGACACGAGGCACCCTCTCCTCGCCCACACTCACCCTTGGTCAGCGTGTCCAGCACTCCGGACTTCTCCAAGTACCTCCGGAACTGCTCGCGCTTCGAGTCGGCGGCCTGAGGAGACACGGCTCGGGTCAGGGGCCGGGATCCGGGGGCCGGAGCAGGAAGAAGGCTCTGGAGGCTGGCAAACCCCGCCTCCGCATCGCTACCTCAGACTCTTCCCCCCCCTCCCCAAAACCTGCGAGCGCCCCCGTGCCCACCCGGAGCCGACCCGCGGCTGGCCACCTCCCGCACGCCCCCAGCCACGCCGCCGCGCCCCCCTCACTTTGTAATGGGCCATAGTGACAGCGGCGGCGGCGTAGCTGGCGCCGGAGACCGTGGCTGGCGGGCTCCGAGCAGCACTGCACATGCGCGGGAGGGCGCGCGCGCCTGCGCACTCGCGGACCACGGCCTGGAACGGCCGGGGCGTGGCCTGTTTTCATGGCGACAAGGACGCTCTGACTGCCCCGTGGTGGGCCGAGCCCAGGGAGTCTGCGTACGCCCGCCCATCCGGCTAGACTGACAACCCGCTTTCCTCTTCCGGTCCCCCGCAGCGAGTCTGTTGCCTCGGGACTAGTGAGGTTTTGGTAACTCGGGACCAGCCGGCGACCTTGTGAGGCCCCAAGGCGGGCGTGGCTCCCGGGGGTGGGGCCTGCGTAACTCGGGAGCCCAGGGACTGGGAGGATCTTCAGACGCGGAGAGGAGGCGGACCTGCCTCATCTGGGACCTCGGAATAGGTGGCTAACCAATAAGTACGTTATGGCTTCTTGGCTCCCATCCTGAAAAAGGTGCCCACGGCTGACGCAGGGCGCCCCTTGGATGTCCAGTGGTTAGAGGAGTGTGTTTAAAATCATACGCTTCAGTTCTGGCTTTTACATTTGGAGTGTCCTAGCTTTGTGGCCGAGTGAATGTGGGCCTATAGCGTGAGCAGTCACCTGTTAATGAGAGCTAGCTCGTACTTTGGATCGCCTATTGATGCTGTTAGGCCCAGATTTCAACCCTGTATTAAACATGTGTTTCTTTTTTTGGTGTTCACACTATACCTGTAAGATAGGTACTGTAAAATGGTGAGATTAGATAACCAGTTAGTAGTAGAACCAGAAGTTCATTCTGGGCACGGATAAACTGGTCAAAGTGAGCCAGAAATCTTTTTAAGATTTTATTTACTGGGTAACAGTATTGAGATTATACTCATGACACATTAAGTTGCAATCTATAAGGAAACTAAGTCCCAGAAGCAAACAAAATTTAACCAGTGTGGGCAAATAAAAGATCAGTAATTAAAAGGAGGGATTATATACATTAAGAACAATCTCCACAGTACTGTGGTCCCTCCAAGGAAAAACTCAATTCCAATCCATTTAGCCTCAATTCTGAACATATAATTTCCCCAAACTCGGCTTTCACAAATTCTCAAGTGGACCTGTGAACAAATAATCCTGATTTGGTAACTCTAAATCCTTTTGGAAAATACCCCTTCACAATTCAGATTTAGAGCTGATTTTCCTTTTTGAAATGTTTTTGCAATTGTACATTTTAACACCTGGTCTTTAGAACTGCCCTTGTCTGCTTTGTCTGTGTTCCACTATTACTAGGCTACTTCTGTGGTAACATGCAAAGTGTCTAAAAGCCAACAGCTGTTCAGCTCTGAAGGTCTGTGGGAGCCCGCCTACTGAGATTGCTTGTCAGCAACAGTAATTGATTTGGGGGACAAGCAGTAGGATTATTGCAGGTTCTGACCAATTTAGATCCAGAGGACAATGCTCCAAAAAAATTAGGAGTTTCTGGAATTCTCCCTGTAAAGGAGAAAGGATTCTTGATTGTACTGTCTCTGAACTAGCCCTTGAGATTACCTTTAGGAAAAGACACCCAATTTTTACCTAATGTAGAGGGGACTCTGTAGCCCAAAGCCACCTTGGTTTCCTGGTGCAATTAGCTGACAGAGAAAGCTGTTGGAGTGACTACCCTATGTGGTTGTCCAGATCTGTAGCAACCCCTGGAATAGAACAGTGACCTGTAGGGTACTGGTTCCTTTTGCTGTTTTTGCCATCAATTTATTTTCTTTTTTTCTCTTTTTCTTACTGTTTACCAATAACTTCTTTTCCTGTTTTTTTTATGAGTGTTTTCATTAGTGCTTGAGCTGACGCTTTGAATATAAGTAGTACTAAATGTGCACATCTCATTGGAAAATAGTTTCCTGTTCATCCAAAATGCTTTTCTCGTCATTTCTATTGTGATGATCAGAACCTGCCTGAAATGCAGAGCAGTTAACTAGGATGCACTGTTGCCCGTGTTTGCTTTTCCAATATCAGATTATAACCAGGTGCAGAGAGAGTCGCTTTAGTGAATCTGCAGCTGTGCTCTGACATTCGGCAAGATTTTGTCTTGACCTGTTTGAATAGAATTCTTTATGCTCATCCTTCAATTTATATTGTCCCCAGAGCCTTCTCTTAATCTTTTTAAAGCCTAGGTGGAAAATTTCTAGAATGTTTAAGAAAAGTGAGCCGATGGCTATCGATTGCATAAATAGGAATATTGTCTTTTCTGTTGATCTTGAGACAAAACAATCAATTATATTTGGACATGGGTAGCCTTGGCATTTAAATAGGGATTGTAAATGAAATCTATATAAGGTACTTTCCAATCATAAACCCAACTTTAACAACAGAGCGAGTGAAAATGTGTGTCACATACGGTAGATGGAAAGCCAGGTTCCCCTGCGTGGAGCTTTATTACGTTTCCTTTGCTGCAGCTGACAACTTGTTTGCTCCAATCTCCTCCGACCCCCAGGCATATCAAACTCAACCCCTTTCAGTTCTCCTCCCTGTCGAGCTTGCTCCCTCAGCCTCTCTTTCTCCAGAACTCTCAGTCAGTACAAAGCATGGGCCATGTAGACCAGGGATAGCGAAGACACGAAAATCACCTCCAGAGCCCAGGATCTAATGAGGGAGATAGGAAAAGCCTGGTCACGGCATCCATTACTGCAGCCAAGTTGTTGTGTATTACAGATGAAGCCAGACTGCTCATCATTCCAAACATTTTCAGCTGCTACACTCAAACAAGCATACGAAATATGAACTGTGATGAGCCAGATCTTTCCATTCACATACATTAAGAAATTGTCTATTTTTTCTTAAGTTTATTTAAATAAAGATAGTTTTGATTTTTTAAATAGCTAGTTAGAGCCTTTTGAAAGCTTTATGTAGTTAAAAAATACTTGGAAAAGCATCAACCTTCCTGAGATAGTTTATATTTATGTTAACAATATTATACTCTTTGACCAAACAATCCAAACTACTTTAAACTGTAAGCAGGGCCCTAACCAGTTTGGCTTATTGGATAGAGTGTGGGCCTGTGGACTGAAGGGTCCCAGGTTCAATTCCGGTCAAGGGCAAATGCCCAAATTTCGGTTCAATCCCCAGTAGAGGACATGCAAGAGGCAGCCAATCAATGATTTAATAATTGATGTTTCTATCTCTCTCCCCTTCCCTTCCTCTCTGAAATCAATTAAAAAATATTTTTAAAAACAATCTATAATAATAAAAGCACAATATGCTAATTAGACCAGACAGCCAAATGACCTTCTGGACAACCTTCCAGATGAAGCCAGGGCTGCAAGGACCGAGGCAAGCCCCTTACATGAATTTCATGAATGGGCCTCTAGTAATAAAATAAAAAACATAAAAAAGTGTAAGCAAGTATTATAATAGTAATCATAACTTGAAAACATAGACAATAATTATCAGTACAAGAAAGACTATTTTACATAACAAACAATAGTACACCCACAGTGTGGTAATATACAAACAATAAAAATTATAATCATATATTAATATAAAAAGACATTTAATAAACAGTTTCAGTGATATTCAGATTATAAAATAGAATAATATGGCCCCATCATTGTGAATTTACTTAAATGTAGAGATGCATACCAAAAAAAAAGCCCATGCCTTGGCCTACTCCTCAGTGGTTAAAGCATCAGCCCTCACTCACTCTGAAGAGCCGCAGGTATGATTCCAGGCAGGAGCTGGTACCTCAGTTGCAGGCTTGATCCCTGGCTGCGGTGGAGAGGAGGAGGGAGAAGGCAACCAATCAATATGTCTCTCACACATCAATGTTTCTCTTTCTCTCCCCCTCCCTTCCACTCTCTCTAAAAAATCAATAGAAAACCTTTTCTTGGGTGAGGATTAACAACAACAACAGAGCCTAGAAGTATATTTATCAAAATCTTAACATATCTCTGGGTAGTATGAGTACAATTGACTTGATTTTTAATAATTTTTTTTACAATGAGCACTTTACTTTTCTATCACAAAAAGAAATTAAAGATTTTTTTCCCTTTAAAGGGAATAGTATTTCCTGAAAGAAGCAGTATTATTTCATCACAAGTCTTAGATTCTAAAGCTTTTATAGCAAATGACATGAATGCTAGTGTACATAAATATATAACTATAGAATTCAAAAGCAGAAAATAACATTTCAGTTGGCTCTTAATTTGCTAAGAGAGGAATTAACACAAACCTTTCTTAGTTTAGAAGAGTATGAATCTGAAGCAAATCCTAGAAGCTCAGCCATTTTCAACGTGTGCTGCCTTTGCAGGTATAGAGCAGGTTCAGTTCAGTGCAATCAGTGAATGAGTCAGCCACCAGCTAAAACCCATTTAAATAACCCATTTCAGCCATTTTTGCCCCTAAAACTGGTTGTCCAATAGAGCTTTTTGAAGTAATGATGAAATAGACTACATGTGCTCTCCAATAAGGTAATCCCCGGTCACATGTGGCTTTTGAGCTCTGGCAGTGTGACATGTGTAAGCACCTGTGCCTAGTGGCTACTTTATTGAAAAGCACAGATAAGAATATTTACAGTATGTCCAGAAACCCAGCATACTTCGTAAGACTAAAGTTATGAACCCCAAATTAAGGTGAATAAATTGGTTCCTCTGTAATTCAGAGATACCAAATTTAAAACACCAGATGTCTGTATGTGCTCTCTTTATGGTAATTTTGCCCTCTGGGAAACCCAATTAGATAATCACTGTGTTTGGTCCTGTGAACAGTGTTTCTAGTACCAAAACATCTTTCTGACTAGATAGTAACCATTTAGTCATCACTATTACTAATCAATGGGTTATGTCCAATTTCATAGATGAACCCTGTTGCTGTCCAGTTTTCTATGGCTAACCATTACATTGCCCTTTAGGTCATTAGAGGTCTCTCCTCAGAGCTTGTGACCTGGTGTATTCTCCATGGCAGACGAGCATTTCTCTGAATTTGTCCCTTTGGGGATGTAGTGTAGATTCAATGCAATTCCGTGCAGTGAGTAATGAGCCATCAACTAAAATACATTTCCCTCTCTGCTCATCCTGGATAGAAAAAGGCCTAGAATACACACCCAGCTGTTGACAGTGGACACCACCAGGGGCAAATAGCAGTTTGGAGGGTGAGAAAAAAGGGAGGGAGGTGTACCTTTTTACATTCTTATTCAAATATTTGTTTAACCAAGAAATACTCAGACTCAAAAAAATTTTTTAATGTTTTAAACAAATGCCAGATCAACTTTTCTCAAAATGCTAAAATACGCTCCTCACTATATTAAGTGGAGATGGTATAAATAAACATGTCGAAGGGATGATGAGAATAAACTTGTACTTCCAATGTTCAGATAACCTAAAACTACTGTTTGGGGGAAAGAATGGCCAACAATCTGGGTCCTTTGCATGAAAATGACACAGGCATCTCAGTTTTCAGACCTGACATTTTTACCTTCTGTAACTAAATCCCCCCCACTCCTAGGAGAGCCACCAGCCAGGTGAAGGATAAGAATGTTACCACAGATGAGTCCAGAGCCACCTGCACTGGGAAGCCAGTTCCAGGTTCCTTGGGGTCCTAGACGAGCCATTAGAATCTGAAGCTAGTTGTCCAGAGAATTCCATCTGCTCCTCTGAGGTACTTCTTCCATCCCTGGTGCACCACAGAAATGTTTATTCCCATACTCCCACCATACTCTTAACCTTCAGTATTTGGGGGATACAGCATTGTTATACAAGCATGGGGGAAGAGTATGGGCTTGCAAATCATAGCCAATCTGTCAACTGTGCTCCCTCTTAGACAAGTTACTTGATTTTTTTCAAAGAGTTTCCATGTCCTCCTCTCTAAGGTGCAGAGTAATAGCTACCTTATTGGATTTTTTAAATGGTTAGCAATAATGTATATAAAGCATCTCAGTGATCTCTCTGCCCGAACAGTGATTGGAAATGACTATGAGTAATCCGGCGCAGGTATGAAAAGTTTTTATTATCAGCATAGTACAGTGTTCTAGATTCCAGCAAGCCACCTCTATAATACATCCTCGAAGAACAAGTCTCTTTTAGAGGATGCATGCATGCCCACCACATGCCTGGGAAAGACCAAATTTCTAGTCTTTACTTCCCTTTTCTCTTCCTCTTCCCTCCCCTTGTATCTAGAAGCCCCTCCTTAAAACCTAAAACCTTTGGTTAGAAGTCCTCGCAACTGATCACTTCAATGGTGTTTTTCCTTCTTTTAAGATTTGCTGGGGCTTCTCTGTTTCTTCATAGAGTTCTCCAGTTTTTCCCCAGATGACTCTTTTTTATTAATTGGCTTCTATTAGGGCAGGTCAGTTTGCTGGGGATAGGAAAATGTTGAAAAGCACGGCAAATAAGACGCAAGCTAAATAAGCTGCAATTGATATCCAAAACCGTGGATCTTTCAGCAGCGTCTTATCAAAGCAGCTAAACACAGTGTAACCTATGGACATTCCAGCAAATACACCTGCAATGTGAGCTGCAAAAGACACCTTGGGAGAAAAGGAGGAAACGGAAATTAGTGAAAAAATGCTAATTACATAATTCAGTTACATCCCTCTTACCAAACAACAAATACCATTCCAGTCATACAAGACTCTTTTAAAAGTATGAAAAACAAGGAGCTCAGGCAAGAGAAACAGAGAGGAGATGTTCTATATGCAAAGCTAAAAAGTGTCATTTCATTCACTATGAGTGCATACGGCAGAGTAATTGACCATCATCCCATCTTGGGTGGTTCTATAAAGCCAACCAAAAGAACAGAGTTGAGTTGCATGAAGGATCTTTATAGGAGCATAATCTGACCGCACATAAATGAAATGTCTGATTTAAAACATAGAACCGAAGGGCTGGCATGGCTCAGTGGTTGAGGATTGACCTATGAACCAGGAGTACACAGTATGATTCCCAGTCAGGGCACATGCCCAGGTTGCAGGCTCAATCCCCAGTAGGGGGTATGCAGGAAACAGCCAATCAATGATTCTCTCTCATCATTGATGTTTCTCTCTCTTACTCCGAAATCAATAAAAATATATTTTATTTAAAAATAATAATCAAACTCACCGGTGACTCATTTGCAGGGACAAAGAACCTTCTGTAGAGAGCAAATCCCACATCCGATGCAACTAGAAGGAAAGACAAGCTGATGAAGCTCCAAGGTCTCCACAATAGTACACCGAGTGCTTTGGTTTCCCCCAATAATGGTAGCAGCTGACATTTATTAAGACTTATTCTGTGCCAGGTGCTTTACATGATTAACCTTGTATCAGTCCTCTCAATGAAGTCAAGACTATCATTTTCCCATTTTGCAGATTTATTCATCCAACAAATATTTGTTATCTTTTATGTGCCAGGCACTATCTCAGTGGTAGACATACTGGAGTGAGCAGACTTCTATAAAAGGTTTTAGGTTTTAAGGAAGGTGCTTCTAAATACAAGGGGAGGGAAGAGAAGAGAAAAAGGAAGTAAAGACTAGATCTCATAGCCCTGTCTGGTGGAGCTGAGGGAGGCAGACAGACAGACAAACAAGGAAAACAAACAGTGTGTCAATTGGTGCTAACTGCTGTGGAAAAATACAAGGGGGGTGGAGAGTGGGGGGAACTGGGAAAGCTGGGGGTAGGGTGTGACTTTTAATAAATAGGTCAGGGAGGATCTAACTGAGCATATGGTATTCGATGGCCATAAGGGTGTAAGCTATGCAGACCTAGGAAATAAGAGCCAGACAGAGGGAAGAGCAAATACAAAGTCCCTAAGGGAGGGAGGTGCCTGGTGGGCTTGAGGATACTAAAGCAGTTGATCTGGCTGGGTCAGTGCTTTTCAAAGTGTGGTTATCCCCCCTTCTGCCCCTCCCGAAAGCAGCAGGAGCAGCAGCATCTGGAAACTCCTTAGAAATTAAAATTCTCAGGCCCACCCCAGACTTACTGAACCAGAGACTGAAGGTGAGGCTCCCAGTCTGTGTTTTATTTTAGCAAGACCTCCGGGTGATTCTGGACTACCGTTAGGGGTAAAGTGATGGGTGATGGGTAAGGGCCAGACCGTGCAAGGGCCGTGTAAGGACTCTGACTTTTATTCCAAGGGATAGGAAGCCTTTGAAAGCTTTTGAACACAGGAGTGACATGATCTATCATACGTTTGTAAAAGCTCATTCTGACAGTTATATAAAGAATAGACCTTACGGAGCAAGGACAGGAGCAGGAAGACCAGCGAGAAATGATGGTGGCATTTAATGCATAAAGAAACCAAGGCACCGAGGTTAAGTTCTTGCCCAAGATCTTAACACAGCTCAGAAGCAGGGCCAGGATTTGAACTTTAAGCAGTGTGACTCCACTCTCACCTCCCACGCTAATTACCGAAGATGGACTAAGAAAGGGAATGAGTGCACACACTCCAATGGAACAGTGAGAGCCAAAACTTTGACAATCCTTCAAATAAGCCAGATCTCTGCTACAAAAGGAGACTTCGGGTTTCCTGGCCTAGGACTCCCACCTTCCTTGGAAACATCTCATGCAGCTGCCACATTCTACACCCATCCCCCAATTCCCTGCTCTCCACTTAGAGAGACATTGTATCCTAAGAGATGGGAAGGCCCAGTCCTCGCCTTTGGGGAAATAGCTTCAGGACCCTACTGTACCGATGTTAAAGTCACTGGACAGGAACTGAGGTTGAGGAAGTACTCAATAGTAATTGTAAGTGACTGTTATACAAAGTTCTGGATAAATGTGGCTGATGGTATTTTCAGTCATTTGCATTTCCTGAGCCAATAGGGTTGAGACTAGGAAAGCATAAGGAAGACCCTGCCAGAGAACAGGGCTGACTTCTTGGAAACAGTCACTCCGATTTAGTTTTCCAGGGTAGGCGGAGGCCTCCTCCCCAAAAGTGTTTGTAACCCTCAGCATGTCAGTGTCTCCTTCCCATTTCCCTTTTATCCTCCCCCTCCGCCCACCTCTGTCTGGCCCTTTCTGCTTTCTGGGGAGTTTGCTTGTCAGTTGCGGCAGTCTCTAAACTGAAACGTGTTTTCCCAATAAATCCATGCTTTCTCCAGCCTTCCTCATTCCAAACTGAATCATTATCCTCACCAAAAATTTAGCACTCCCTTTAAGAAGGTTGCCTTTATACCAACCTTTTTTTAAACGATGAAAAAGTGAGATTTTCTTAACGTTTTCCAGAGGGAAGCTCACTAGCTTTGTCTGGAAACACATCCAACAAATAATGCTTATTGAAGGAAGGTGCGTAAGGCCAAGTGTCATCCACAATTAAGAATAATTTTTAGCCGAGACCGGTTTGGCTCAATGGATAGAATGTCGACTTGGGGACTGAAGGGTCCCGGGTTCGATTCCGGTCAAGGGCATGTACCTTGGTTGCGGGCATATCCCCAGTAGGGGGTGTGCAAGAGGCAGCTTATGGATGACTCTCTCTCATCGATGTTTCTAGCTCTCTATCTCTCTCCCTTCCTCTCTATACAAAATCAATAAAATATATATATATTTTACTGGATTAACTCTGGAAACACAATATAACTGGCCCTGCTTTTGCTATAAAATAATTTTTAGCCTTGGCCAGGTAGCTCAGTTGAATAGACCATCATCCCGATATACCACACTTGCAGGTTTGATTCTCAAGGCACATATTCGATACAAGAATCAACCAATGAGCCCTAGCCAGTTTAGCTCAGTGGATAGAGCATCTGCCTACGGACTTTAGTGTTCTGGGTTCATTTCCAAGCAAGGGCACATGCCCAGGTTGCAGGCTCCATCCCCAGTAGGAGGCGTGTAGGAGGCAGACAATCAATGAGTCTCATCATTAATGTTTCTATCTTTCCCTCTTCCTTCCTCTCTGAAATCAATAAAAATATATATTTTTAAAAAGAATCAACCAATGAATGCATAAATAAGTGGAACATGCCGAAACCGGTTTAGCTCAATGGATAGAGCGTCGGCTTGGGGACTAAAAGGTCCTGGGTTCGATTCCGGTCAAGGGCATGTACCTTGGTTGCGGGCACATCCCCAGTAGGGGGTGTGCAAGAGGCAGCTGATCGATGACTCTCTCATCGATGTTTCTAACTCTCTATCTCTCTCTTCCTCTCTGTACAAAATCAATAAAATATATTTTAAAAAATAAAATAAAATAAAAAAATAAGTGGAACAATAAGTCAGTGTTTCTCTAAAATCAATAAAAAATTTTAAAGAATAATTTCTGTCATTATAAGTATATACATTTCCCCAAGGAAATGTGTTTAAAATTAAAGCATACTTATATGTCTGGTATGTGTTGTAACTTTTCTATAATTTTCAATAGTAGGTAAACCAGGCCAAAGAACGTTTAGAAATGATGTGCCAGACTGGTGTGGCTCAGTGGTTGAGCACCAACTTATGAACCATGTGCAGGTCAGGGCATATGCCTGGGTTGTGGGCCTGATCCCCAATAGGGGGGTATGCAGGAGGCAGCCATTCAATGTTTCACTCTCACATCAAGGTTTCTACCCCTCTCCCTTCCTCTCTCTAAAATCAATAAAAACATATATTTTTCAAAAATAGAAATAAGTGGGGAAGGTTAATGTTGGCCTAGCCTACTTCTATTGTGGGATATAATATGGCTTTATCAAGTTACCTCAGAAATGATATAGTCTTACTAACCTATCTTTGGAGAAACACTGAGCATGAGGAAAGGGTTTTTACTCCAACATTGAAGAGTATTCAAGAATAATATAAAAATTATTTCCCCATCAAAGGTTTGAGGCTAATGTTATAAAAGCCATTTATAATTACACAAAAGAAGCAGACTGAAGACCCAGGTAACTTGTGTAACAACATTTTTCAGTCAAAGGACTTGTCCCTTGGTTCTTGATGTGACTCAACTCAGGTGGCACCTCAGCTCCCAAAGCAACTCTCCTCGCTCCCTCCCTGCACAGCTCTCCTGTCTGTGCTGACAGCTGTACCTCATCTGTTGGGTTTCTTCTGGAGGAAAAAAAAAATTACATAGAGCATGGCATAGCCTATAAGTAAGTCACTTATTTTCTCTCAAGATGAAACATTTTTTTACAGTTAAACTGTTTATATTTAGTGTCTTTCCTCAAAGGTGGCTGTCCCTGTTTCCACAGTGTGGATAACTGAACTCAGTACTAATTAGCAGAATCTTTTTTTCTTACCATGTGAACAGCAAAAATCTTAGGCCTTATCAAGTGTCACCTCTGTCTTGGCCTTCAAGTCTGAACCCAGTGTGACCCCAACATCTGCCCTTCTCCCCACTCCTACAAGCAAGCACAGCTTTATCTGGATTAACTCTGGAAACACAATATAACTGGCCCTGCTTTTGCTATTGTTTTTGTGGATTTAAAAGAAAGGTTCTATGGAAAGTAACCTACAGGGTGAGCTGACCATAAATTCCTAACTGGGCAGGTCATTGTGAGTTGTCATGCTCCACACCTATAACTTCTTTAGTGAAAGGTTTTAAGCCAACCCTGTCCATTGTGCATCTAGGTTAACTTTCTGAAGGGTGAACCAAGAAAATTGAAGGAGTGAAGTGTTCACAAAATAAACTTACTTATAGCGATGATGATCAGTAGTCTGATAATTCCAAAAGCAGGAATCATTTCTCGAAAATTCTTGCAAAGAGATAAATAATAATTAACATAAGCGCTCTATTGGCAAATGAAACCTCAACTGTACTCCCTCTTTATCTTCTTTTTCATGTAGAATAAAGTATATGTAAAATATTTGCAAAAAAAGAATATATTTGGGAAGTACAACTTTAGTGTGCTTAGAAGAACAAAATAGAAACATGACATTTAACTCCACAATATAAACTAGACACAATTTTATTATTAGAAATGATCTAAATACTGGTGGCCCAGTGCACAGATTCGTGCACCAGTGAGGTCCCTCAGCCTGGCCTGTGCCCTCTCACAATCTAGGGGGATATCAGACTGCTGGGTTCAGCCTGGTCCCTGTAGGCCAGGCTGAGGGATCCCACTGGTGCATTCGTGCACCAGGCCTCTAGTATGCATATAAAATATTTGGTTAATCTCTTCCCATCCTCCCCTATCTCCTCTTCCCTCTGAGATTCATCAGTCTGTTCCATATTTCCATGCCTGTTCATTGATCTTCTGCTTCCTGGACAGTGCATATCATAACTAGTGGTCAAACAGTCACTTAGGCTTTTATATATATAGATAAGTAATATAAAATTGACATTTAACATAAGATAGATAGATAGATAGATATGCTGTCAAACTAAGTTGGATGAAATATTTCCCTTTTTTTGGCTTATATTCATTTGATACTTTTTTTAAAAATAAATTTTTATTGTTCATATTATTACAAATGTTCCTTCCCCTCCCCGCCATTGCTCTCCTCCACCAGGTTCCCATCCCACCCTCTGCCCTTTCCCCATTCCCCATTGTCCTCATCCATAGGTGCACAGTTTATGTTCATTCTCTTCCCACATCCCCCTCTCCCCTTTTCCCCAAGAATCGTCAGTTCACTCCCATACATCTGATTCTATTATATTCACCAGTTAATATTGTTCATCAGATTTTTTTTTTAATTTCCTTGGTTTTTAGATTCACTTGTTGATAGTTACATATTTGTTGTTCATAATTTTTATCTTTATTTACTTTCTCTTCTGAAAGAATCCCATTCAGCAATTCATATAATTCTGGTTTGGTGGTGGTGAACTCCTTTAGCTTTTTTTTTTTTTAATTAGTGAAGCTCTTTATCTGGCCTTCGATTCTGAGTGATAGCTTTGCTGGGTAGATTATCTTTGGCTGTAGGTTCTTATTATTCATCACCTTGAATATTTCTTGCCATTCCCATCTGGCCTGCATGGTTTCTGTTGAGAAATCAGCTGACAATCATACAGGTGCTCCTTTATAGGTAACTACCTGCTTTGCTCTTGCTGCTTTTAATATTCTCTCTTTGTCTTTTGCTCTTGGAATTTTAATTATGATTTGTCTTGGTGTGGTCCTCTTTGGATACCTTTTGTTTGGAGTTCTGTGCACTTCCTGGACTTGTAAGTCTAATTCTTTCACCAGGTGGGGGAAGTTTTCTGTCACTATTTCTTTCAATATGTTTTCGATATCTTGCTCTCTCTCATCTTCTGGGATGCCCATAATTCTGATGTTGGTTCGCTTGAAGTTGTCCCAGAGGTTTCTTACATTATCTTCAATTTTCTGGATTCTCTTGTCTTCTTGCTTCTGTGGAGGAGTGTCTTCTGGCTCTTTATGTTCCAAATCTTTGACTTGATTCTTGCGATCTTCCATTCTGTTTTTAGGACTCTGTATAATATTTTTTATTTCAGACAATGTATTCTTTATTTCTTGTTGATCTCTTATCATTTTTCCTAATAATGATTCCTTATTAATTCTAGTTGATCCCTTTTCATATCCTCATAGGTCTTATCAACATTTTCTAGGAAATTCTTGAAAAACCTTATAAGTGTAGATTTGAACTCTATATCCAGTAGCTTTTTGTCCTACATTTCTTTCATTTTTGATCTATTTCATTGTCACATTTTCACAGCTTCCCTGTTGGGGTGGAATTTCAGGGTGGAGCCTACAGCCTTGGCTTCGCAGCTCCTGAGTCTCAGGGTCCTTCAGTACTCTCTGCAAGCGCCTCTGAGAGAAAGGTGCCCTAGATTTTCGCCTGCTACCAAACAGTCTAGGCTCTCCCCCAATGAGCCCAGAACTGGGGTTCAGTTCAGTTGGAAGTGGAGTTGGAGGTGGCGTTCAGAGCAGTCTGGAGCCCCAGTCTCCTTCCCGCCAGGGCAATCCCGTGGCACAGCTAACCATCCCTTCTCTGCGCGCAATGTGCGTGCCTCTGGGACCTCCTTTCGCCGCTCCCCTGGGGTTCCACCTTATAGCCCAGCTCCCTATGGATGAGCCTGGGTCCCCGAGGTCTGGTCTAGAACTGGGGTTCAGAGCAGTCGGAACTGGGGCCCAGCACAGTCGGAGCTTTTATCTCCTTCCCGCCAGGGAACGCCAGCCAGGCACTCAGCCGCCCTCCTCTCCGGCTCCGTCCTCTCCGCGCACCGCGTGTCTCCGTACCTCAGGCTTTTCCAGCTCCTCCGCGCTTCCTTCTGGTTTTCTCCTTGCTTCTTGTTATAGAATTTCCACTCAGTCGACTTTCCTGTAGTTCTGGGTAATGTCCATTTTATATTTTAGTTGCATTTTATTGAAATTGTTGTGTGCAGCTGCGGCTAGGTATTTACCTGTGCAGCCATCTTGGATTCTCTGTTTAAACTCCATTTGATACTTCTTGATCCTCTTTCCACATAGGAGTTAGTAAAGAACTAAAATTTGAATACTACCTTATTTTTTTAGATAATTAAAAAAAAAATTAAAACACTGGTCAGAAAAAAATGCATCTCAGTCTAGCGTACAGTAACCTCATGTGTTACTAGAGAACAAAGTCAGAAAAACATTGCCACTTTAATATATTAAATTATATCTCCAATCCCTCTCAAGTTATTCACTCTCTTCCCAAGGAGTAAAGATGCTGAATAACTCTGTTTATTCTTAGTAAATTATTTTCAAACTTTGTGACCATGACTTACAATAAGAAATAATTTATATAACAATCCACTACACACATGAACAGTACTTATTACTGAAATTATTTTTCACTTTTTTCTTTTTGCTTAATTTTTCACAATCCTTAAGCTGAGTTCACAACTACTTTGGATTTAAATCCAAAGTTTGAAAAACATTTTTCTAAATGACTTCTTTTTTTAAAAACAGTTTTATAATTGTTTCATATTTTTCCTCTTACAGCAAGGATGGGGAACGTCCGGGGTGCAGGTCGTATAAGGCCCACGAAATTATTTGGTCTGGCCGTGCCAAGGCATTTGGGGTGAGCTAATTAGATGTTTGAGCAAATATAGCAGGCTAATTTTTAAGTTAATAATTTTGTCTGGCCCGCAAATGATGTTATAAATATCCAAATAGCACTTGGCAGAAAAAGGTTTCCCACCCCTGTCCTGCAGTATTTTTAAAGTACAGATATATGTATATAAGTATAAATAAAATATAAACACTTTATATTTTAAAGTATACCTACATGGTTAAAGGGTTAAGAACTAGACAGGATTTTAGCCTGTTTAAAAAGTGCTTGACATTCCTACATACTATATCATGGAAATGTAAAATAGCATGCAAACTTTGTTGGACGATTTGACACTGAAATCCACTTTTAGGAAATTATCCTACAAAAAAAAATCACAAAAATGCAAAAAGATACATGTAAAAGAACATTCTTTATGGTACTAACTGTAAATGTGAAAAGCTGCAATCACCCCACATTGTTTTCAGTGAAAGATTAAATAAGTCAGGCTACAGCTCTATGGAGGGTGCTGTGAGCACTTGAAAAGATTGAGGTGGATTTCTGTGTAATGACCTGGATATATAGAATACTTGATGTTCAGATTCGGAATATATATTTGTATTAATAGGATTTTGAATACATATTCCATATTTGTATTAATTAATAGGATTTTGAATATATGTATAAGATCTGAAAGAATATATATTAAGCTGTTAACATTCTATATTGGGGATTTTGACTTTTGTTTTTCAATTTAAAATTTTATTTAGTATTCATTAGTTTTGATATCAGGAGGAAAATAAGATAAAATATGAATGGAAAAAAATAGTGGTCAAAGAAGATGAGTACTCAGTAAATACTGATAAATTTAAGATTCTTATACCAAATACTAGCTTTTTGTTTGTTTTTTTAAAAAGTCCATAGATTCCATTCCCAAAGTTCTTACCACCAGAACATTCATAAAATAGCCTCCCATCAGAGCATAGACTCCTCCTGAAGCACCCACAAGATATTTGAGTGGGTCAAAGATGGAGCTGGCAAGAGATCCTAAAGAAATAAAACACAAAGAATCAGATATGATTATAAGAACTATGGAAGATAAATCTTTCTAATCTAAGGTAAAAGTTTGCCGAGTTTGGGCCATTTAACAAACAACGTATTCACTTTGCCCCTTCAATACTATAAAAGTATAGCTATGTGGGCTAGCCACCTCATTTTTCTGAAACATTGAATGAATGTTCATATGAAGACAGTATAACAATGATAATAGCACAGACTCTGGAGCCAGAATTACCATCTGTGTGACTTGAGCAAGTTTCTTAACCTCTATGTGCCTTAGTTTTCCTACTTAGAAAATGGGGATATTAATAAGTTGTCAGGGAAAGTAAATGAGCTGAAAAACATCAATCAGTTGCCTCCCATACATATGCATCATCCCTGGAATACTGCCTGAAATGTATTATATACTTGTTACTATTTCAAAACATTCTACATGTTTAGCCCACACTATCAAAATACCTGAGACATGCCAAACACTTTATTATCTAATAGTTAGCTTTCTCATGGAATCAAGATGTGGCTTCCAAAACCTCCTCAACATACCATTCCATCAGAATCACCAAGCAAGATGAAATCTATTTGCTAACCCAGTGGCCAGCAAACACATTAGTCAACAGAGCGGCAAACTGAAGTTCGAGAGCTCTGTGCTGCAGTTTGCCAACCACTCTGCTAACGTAATCTTAGATTGCCTGAACAAAAAACAAAACAAAAAAACAGCCGAAACCGGTTTGGGTCAGTGGATAGAGCGTCAGGTCCTAGGGTCGATTCTGATCAAGGGCATGTACATTGGTTGTGGGCACATTCCCTTTGAGGGGTGTCACAGCAGGAGGCAGCTTGTCGATGTTTCTCTCTCATCGATGTTTATAGCTCTCTCTCCTTCTCCCTTCCTCTCTGTAAAAATCAATAAAATATATTTTTTTTAAAAACAACAAACAACAACAAAAAAAATTATATTCAACACAAACTCTAAGATAATCTCTCCACACTTCTTAGTTCCATTATTTGGTCTCTTGTTTTTGAGGTATTATACTATCAATCCTTAGGATATAGTATAATACCTACTTTGTATAAGAAAAATAAAGTATATGACCTTAGCAATCTTACAAATAGATAAGCAAACAATCATAAAATGCAGAATATAACAACTACAATTTTTTTTTAATTTTCACCCAAGGATATGTTTATTGATTTGAGAGAAAGAGAAAGAAAAACATCAATCAGTTGCCTCCCATATGTCACAATCTGGGAGTGAACCCACAACCTAAGCATGTGCCCTGACCAGGTATTGACCCGCAACCTTTTTTTTGTACAAGACAATGCTCCAACCAAGTCACCGGCAGGAAATGATTTTTTTTAACGTAATAAATTTGCTATAGAAGCACCTAGAAAGGAATGACTTTCTCAGCAGAGTGGTATAGGCCGTGCTACTCTGAGGAGATAGTTTTTTTTTTATTAAAAACTGAAGAATCTTTAAAATGTGGACAGGAAAAGTAAAGGAGAAGGTATTCAGAATGTAGGGATCTAGAAAAGCAAAGACATAGAAACAAAAATATACGGATAATGATAAGTTCAATGATAAGTCCAATAGATTTAAAGCAATGGTTTTCGACTTATAGGTAGAGTTACAGTGGTTCATCTTAATCATATAAGACATTTATTTTTTAAATACATATACAAATGTCCACTTCTGTCCATGATGGAGTCCCAAGGTTAGGATTTACCCCTCCACTTGAAATAACTAAAAGCACTGGAAAGAATACATGAAACAATGGTCTTCAAAGTACTGGGTATCAGATAGCAAAGGTCAGTGAACCCTGAGAGATACAAAATAATGAGATGAGTTGTCTGATTGCCCAGCTTACTGCCTGAAGAAATATGACAAGCTGAAGTGCATGGAAGGGAAAACCAAGTAAATCTCAGTAAACTTTAAGTTGATGAATTAGAGTTTAGAGTCCAGAAAGACCTAGAGTTCAAAAGACAGCACCAGAGAGGAGAGACCTACATGGAGAGAGAACTCCAGAGAGGAGTATGTGAAGAAATTATTCAAACCAAGGAAAGAATTACTAGAAAGGAATAGAGGGAAGAGTACCTCTTGCTCACCAGCGAGGCTAAGTAAATGCCTCAAACTAGAAAATGTCATAGTTCATGGGGCATTTGAGTAAAGAACATAGTAGTGGGGAATAATTAGCACTAAACATGACTCAGAAACATAATTTTACCTAGCAAATTTCACCAGAAAGGATCAAACTGCTACTAAGTAACTGAGTTCCAGAACAAACCTAAGAAATATTTATAGGGATACAATAATATCCACCATTCAAAGGTAAAATGTATAGCATCCAAACAAAGATGGTCTGGAAAACAGTAAAATGTGACCCATAATAAGGAGAACAATATAAAACGTACCCAAATTGACACAGGTATTAGTAGTTAAGAGCAACAAATAATTATTACAACTATATTCTATATGTTAGAGACATATAACATATAAACAGACTCAAACTTCTAAAGATGAAAACTACAATGTTGAAGATGAAAAAATAAACTTGTTGAGATTATTGGCAGATTACACATTCCAGAAGAAAAGATTAGTGAACATGAAGACATGGCAATAAAACTATCCAAAATGAAGCACAGAGAAAAATATTTTTTTGCTAATCCTCATCTGAGGATATTTTTCCATTGATTTTTAGTGTGAGTGGAAGGGAGGGGGAGAGACAGGGAGAGAAACATGGATGTGAAAGAGACACATCGATTGGCTGCCTCCTGCACATACCCTAACCAGGGCCAGGGAATCAAGCCTGAAACCAAGGTATATGCCCAGAAATCAAACCTTGGTTTGTCTATGGGTCAATGTTCTATCCACTGAGCCAAATTGGCTAGCACAATTTTTTTTAAATATATATTTTTATTGCTTTTACAGAGGAAGGGAGAAGGATAGAGAGATAGAAACATCAATGAGAAAAACATCAATGTTCTCCCACACACCCCCTACTGGGGATTGAGCTTAAACCTTGGCGTGTGACCTGACTGGAAATCAAACCTGTGACCTCTTGGTTCATGGGTTAGTGCTCATTGGAAACAATGCAAATGAGAAAACAGTAGGGTAACATCTTTAAAGTACTGAAAGAGCCAAAACCGGTTTGGCTCAGCGGTAGAGCGTCAGTCTGCAGATAGAAAGGTCCCAGGTTCGATTCTGGTCAAGGGCATGTACATTGGTTGCGGGCACATGCCCGGTAGGGGGCGTGCAAGAGGCAGATGTTTCTCTCTCATCGACGTTTATAGCTCTCTATCTCCCTTTCTCTCTGTAAAAAAATCAATAACACATGTTAAAAATAATAATAATAATAAAAATGAAAATAAAATAAAGTACTGAAAGAACAATACTGCCAAGTTAGAATTCTGTACTTAGTAAAAATTTAGGGTGTTCCAAAAAAAAAAAAATGTATACACACTTTCAATAATTATTAATTCCAATGGTTTAAATCTGAAAAGATAAAAAAAAAAAAAAAAAAAAAAACATCAATTGAGCTATCAAAAAATATATGTGTGGCTGGCCAATGTGGCTCAGTGGTTGAACATGGACCTGAGAACCAGAAGGTCAGGGTTAAATTCTGGTTAGGGCACATGCCTGGGTTGTAGGCTCAATCCCCAGTAGGGGGAGTGCAGGAGGCAGCAAATTGATGATTCTATCTCTCCTTTTCCCTTACTCTTTGAAATCAATAAAAACATATTTTAAAAATAAAAGTATGTGTATACATTTTTGAAGATACCTTAATATACTTCAAAATTAAGGCAAAATGAAAAATTTTTCAGTTTTACAGAAACTGAAAGAATGGATGACCAGCAGACCCATATTACAAGAAATGCTAAAGGAATCTTTAGGCAGAAGGGGAAAGATACAGGTGGAAACACAGGATTGCCCAAAGGAATGAAGAACACTGGAAATGATAGAAACATGGGAAAACATACAAGTTTTTTTCTTATTTAAATCTCTTTAGAGAATAATTGGCTAATTAACTGTCAAACTAACTCCTAGAAATAATAAGCGAATTTATTAAGGTTGGAGGATACCAGATCAAAATGTAAAAAGTCAACTATATTTCTATGTAATAGCAATAAAGAATCAGAAATAGAAATCTTTAAACAGTGCTATTTACAGTATGCCAAAAATATGTGTACACATTGTTATATGTCAGTTATATATCTCTGAACAGAAAAACAAAAACACAGATGCCAGGACCATATCCCAGAAATTCTGACTCAGTAGCTTTAGGTGGGGATCTGAGTAGCTTCAGTTGTAATAATCTCTCCAGGTGAATCTGATGATTAGTCAGATGGGGGGTGGGGAGTGGGAAGAAGACCCTGGGCTGTGGGGCAAAATAGGCAAAGCAAAAAAGACAATGGGCAGGAGGGAATTTTGGAGATGATGGATATGTTTATGGCATAGGTGATATTTTCATGGGTGTATACTTATCTCCAAATTCTTCAAGTTGTATTCCATTGAATATGTACTAATTTTTGTATATCAATCAAACTCAAAAAAGATTTTTAAAAAAACATATCAAGTCTTTCTCTAACCTCTTCACATTTAATTTATTTTTTTAATATTAGTAAAAAAGTTCATTCTTTATCCAAAAGAAAAAAAGGCAAAGGGCAGGCAGTGGAAGGTAATGAAGAGCAATCTTGGATATTTCAACTTTCTTTTGACCACTAGAAATGGTCTAGGAATGACCTATGTTATAACTAAAAGCTCTGGACAGAATATATGAAACATGTGTTTGAGGAAGGTGACCCAGGCAGCAGTGTGAAAGATAGACCAGAACAATCAAGAAATACCTGCCAAGAAGCTGTTGCAAAAATAGGCAAGAATCTGAACAGGTTATTCACGTTTTCTCTCTTCTCTGCAAATGGGGCAGAGCTGATTCCACAGGTTGAAATCAAACTGTAGGGGAAAGAAGAGTGTAGATGCTGGAGCCAGGCAGGGC